AGTCAATATATGTATAAATGTGCATGCATAAAAAGCATAAATGAAATCCAAAACCAGTTGCAGTATAACTGATTGAATTGTTTATTATTGTTGAACTCATGTGTTTTACACTGAATACGGGACTTGTCGGGATTCCCAACTACCTGGTCCCAGTGTTTACACTAGACATTTCTGAGACCTTACACCTGCCACTTCTTCGCTGGTCTTTCCTCCAGCACTAATAAAGTAAAAATATTAAATTATTATCCAAACTGTAAACATCTCTTCAAGTTAAATGTCCCTTCCACACCTCGTCTCCTTTTCTCCCATGTGGTTTCCTCCTTCTCCTCATCACAGGTCTTTAAGGGTCTGTCCTAGTGAGAAGCAGAGGCTGATGGAAGGTGTCAGACCTCTCAGGTGAATTTGATTTGAGACACAGCTGGGAATAGAAAAAGTTGATCTCTCAGCATACTTATAATATATGAAAAATTAGTTACCTTTAATTCTCAGAATGTCACTCACAACTATTGAAAAGTAGATCTGTATAATATTCAGTATGTTTTCTATTGTAGTTGCTTGTATCCTATTTGTTCAGGAAACAGGAGTTACCAGTTCAGATTAACTCAGTGTATTTCTGCCAGTTTTGCTGAATACTAGTTGTGTTTTTTTTTTCTTTTTAAATTCTATATAAAACCTTAGCCCACATCAGTCAGTTTTTAAAGTTTAATTTGATAGTTTTATTTACTTTTTTTGTGTGTAAGAATTATACTGAGGCTTAAAAAAAAGAGTCATCTCCATGGTTTTCAAAAAAAAAACACAGATAACAACAAATTTGGCCCAAGGCATATCTTCCAAAAAAGTAATCTGTAAGATCAGCGGCTGGGACTAATTATTTATATTTTTTTCAAAAACCATTATACTTGTAGGAAATAGTGTTGATGCCAAAGATTTGTAGGTGCTTTGGATTCCATTTTGGATTTCTAATTTTTAACCAAATTTCAGATATATATATATATATATATTAAATTTCATGGTTCTATAATCATCTCAAAGGCCTTTAAAGTAAAACCTTATCAACTTTTAAAATTTATTACTAATTAATAAATTTTAATTAATTTTAATGAAGTAAAAAAAATACAATGGAAATATATTGTATTTAATGTAAGAATTTATTATGAAAAAAAGTTTTGAGAACTACAGATGGAACTCAGAATTACATTAATCAATTAAGAAACAATTGAAGTCTTCACAGCTTTTTACTGTCAAATAACAGGCTGGAATCCAACAGATGAGAAATCTGCAAAGTGATTTTAGGAGCTGCACTGTCCAAAGAACCTGGAGTCCATGCTATCGTGACTATACTAAACTCCCATGCTATGTACTGTGACTGTCCTTTCCCGTACAGCCAAACACCTAGACGATATGATTGAGACATGGTTTAAATTCTATTTTTGAACAGCTGGAGAAGGAATCTGGGATTGAAATGATCATAGTTCCCTGTCATCAGGAAGGTTTTCATGAAAACATGGCCATTACTTTGGGTTCCGAAGAGACACAAGGATGTGGAGCAGATATTGCTTCCAGTACCTGAGAAAGAGATAGAGAGAGTGGAGAGATGGGGGCTGGATATTGAAATTGTGTGTACGGCAGGACTGTACAGCTCGTCTCAGTGGAGCAGCAATTAGAGTTTCGGTGTTTGTCTCAGTCCTACAGTTTGAGGCATACCGAGGGAGAGGAGATCAGTCAGAGAGACTGACAAAACAGCTCAAATGCAATTTCAAAATATGGTACAGTATTTTAAGTTTCATTCATCTAGCTATCTACGCATTCATTTAAGGAGAATATGGCAGTAATTGGATAAGAAGGACTCTGTTGGTCCTCAAAAAAGTGTGAAAGAGAATACTTGAAGAATAAATTATAGGAGTTTATGTTCTTATTTACATCTACATATCAACTTGAATTTTTTAAGAAGACATCTCTGAGCGTAAGCAGTGTATGTAGAGAAAACGTCTTAATGCATACTGTAAAACATTCCTGAGGGCAAAATTTCTAGCAGGTACTCTCCAACAAAAAAAAAAGAGGGGATCCATTTGGGATTCATGTCACCAAGAAATACTGATGTGTTTTCATAAGTGCCCTATATCAGACAGGTGTTCAGGTGGCCTAATCCCCATCTGTTTCTAGTGTACGATCTCTGTGACCTTGGTCATATTACTGAGCATTATATTAATATCTTTCTTTACACCCCAACATACATAAATGTCACAGTGAAGTACATTTTGTGTGTCCACTTGAATTTCTTCACACTGGGCTAAGTGTATAAGTATATAAGACATTTCTCACTCCTTGCAGCTGATAAAATTCAGTCCTATATCAAGTTCTGTCTGGAAGTCAAATCAGTCAGTGTACTGAGGGGTGAGATGTTAAGATAAAGTGTGGGCCTCCTCAGTGAGCCTCTCAGTTTCTGTCTGATGCATTACCCTATACTTAACATCGTGTCACAAAAACAAATTTGTAGAATAGTTTCAGCAGGACCTGCCTTGGTCTGACACATCTCCACACCATTAAGTTTATTGGCCATTTCATATGCTACATGACAGTTTAAGTAATTTGACTATTCATTACACTTTGCTCACCTGTCAGTCACACAAGCCTCTTCCCACCAGATTCATAGATAAGAATCGCTTACACACAAAATAGAAAGAATACAGGTGGAAAAATTGCTCATGTGGATTGATTGGGCACTAATGAAATATTCTGGCTGTTCTCCATATGGTAAAACACACCCATTTACAACAAGGACTTAGCATCTTTCAAAGATCTTTCCGTCATGGATAAATAAATCAAATTATCCCCACCCTATTTTTGCCCATAGCAGATAGACACAATCAAATCTCCCAGTGAAGCCTCAGAAATAAATAGGAAGAAATATAAATAGATGTTTCTGACTGCATTTCTATATACATGCCTCTTCCATCTTATGGATCCATTTAGTTTCTCACTTGGAGCTCATGTAATCTTCATTGCTGTCAAACATTTTTTACTGCCTAATATTTGAAGAATACAGAAGTAGCTGAAAGAATGAGGGGACCTGGGGCTTAGCATTTTAACACACCGCCCAGGTAATTTCAGGACAATCTGGTGATTTCTACAAAGTGAACATTATTGTCTCCTATGCTCTTCTCCCCGTGTCAAGAGGGGATCTCAAAGAGAATTTGAGTCCATAGTTTCAGAGCAAGGGTACGGAAGTCATGTATTCCCAATCCCCTTCCTCCAGCCGTTGTGGAACTCAGAGAACATTCCTTTTCTCAACCTGCAAGAAGGATGCAGTTGGATGTCATTGTTACCGCACCCAAAACTGCTTCTCTTCCTGTGACACTTTTTCATCTCCAGCCCGATCTTTCTCTCCAGCTCCAAACCCATAATGGCAGTAACTTTGTACATTTCCCATTCATCACCCCACAATTAGGCCATATTAAGGAAAGCTGGGCAAAAAAAAATAAAAAAGCAGGCAGAGTCCTGTGGGCCATTTGGTTCTGTTGGGTGTCCTAGCAGAGGTGTCCCTAACTGGTTCTAAGCCTTCCAGTCATATTGCCTAAGTGGTTTTCTCTACTCTCATAACAAAAATAGTTGTATGTTGTTTTTTAGATTGTCTCCTAAGAGCAACATAAGCTCCAAATGAACACAAAAGTGTGTTTAGCTCCCAGGCCCAGTAAGCACCTCACTCCTTCTGAAGGTGAAGTACAGGGGAACTGCTTCTGTCTCCTGAGCTTGACATGCAACTCCAAGAGCCAGAAAGGGCCTCTAAAGTTGTTTTCCAGGTTATACAAATAATCATTCATTGAACTTTATTAAATTTTCCCCGAGTGGGTAATTCCTGCTGTTACAGAGGTTTGGGTTACAATGTTATTGTACATGCAATAAACTATGAAGTCTTAAAATAAGTGCCTGTACTCCATAAATATGGTTTTGTTTTGTTTTGTTTTGTTTTTGACCCAAGTGATCTCTAGACTTTCTTCTGTAAACTCAGATTGTTTTAAAAAGCATGGAACATTATTCTATAGCACTAAAAGGGCACTTTGTAAGCCTCGATTGCGCCACCCTCCCTCCACGCTATTACAGAGAGGAAATCAAATGTGCACACTTGGTGAGCCATTTGCCCTCAGCTTCTGGGACCCATGGACGTGCAGGGGCCACCTGAGAATTATTTGCACAATGCTTTTCTGAGCCTGAAATATCTGCAGAGAGCACGTCCTCCCTCACAGCTGTCTCATTCACTAGTGTGGTGGGTCAAAGCAGGAGGCAATCAGGGTTTCTTTCTTTCCCTCTGCACCTGCAAAAGCACATTGCTAATTCCCTCACAGATGCCAGCAGGCATTCAGGCTAATAGAGCGCCATTCAGATTAACCAGAGCGTGTCTGCTCGCCACAGCGTCTCACTGTGGGGCTGTTTCTAAAGGGACAAGAGGCTGAAATCAGAGTCTGGCTGCATTTGCGTTTCTATTAAGTGTTGATGGAAGAAATGTCATTTTTAGTTGCACTTGACATATAACAGAAATTATTTTAGGCGTTCATATTGAAACATGAATGTGTGTATGTGGGGGGAGCAATTAATTAGTGTCACACGCTGTCCTAAAACATTGCACTTGAGTAAAAATACTTGAGCTAAACCAAGGCCAGCCAGTTCTATTTTACCATTCTCGGAACATAAACATGTAACCAAGCAAACTAATCTTAGAAGTTATGTTCAGGAAACCTGTTACTAGGGAACGGTTAAAGGAAATTAGCCTCATGTCATTAAAATTGCTTTAGTAGCCCATCTATTGCTCGTCATATTTTGAAGTATAATGGCCCAAAGCAATAAGTAGAATTCATCAAGGGAGTAGGATTTCATGATAAGCCTTGGAGACGATGTTTTTATTTTGCAAGAAAACTTTCTAAAATGGTGAAGAATTTGCCTTCTTTTCCAATCTCTTTTGTTTGTCCTTTATGGCTGTTTCTAAATGATGTTTTGTTTTCTAGTGGTGAACTGTTCGGATCCAGGCTTTGTGGAAAATGCCATTCGTCATGGGCAACAGAATTTCCCTGAGAGGTTTGAGTATGGAATGAGTGTCATGTACCATTGCAAGAAGGGATTTTACTTGTTGGGATCTTCGGCCTTAACCTGTACGGCAAATGGCTTATGGGATCGTTCTTTACCCAAGTGTTTGGGTGAGTGTTATTTTGGATTCTTTTGCCATAGAGAGCCCTATAAGAACACCAACAGAACAATTTTTTTTTCAGATGTTTAAAAAGATACTGAATTTTAATTCTCTCTGCCCCTTCCATCACCAGTTGTGTCAGTTCCTATGGCAGCTTTAAGTGGATTGGACAGAAATCACAAAATACAGCTGAAACTAGCTTAAGTGGGACAAAAAAGTTGCATACTGGCAGCTCACATACCAAACCCCAAAGAGAAATGGCCCCGGGTTGTTGGACAACAGTTAAAACAATTATGTCTCTGTCTTTTATCACTGTTTATCCACCTGCTCCAGCCTAGCAGACAGGGTTATTGCACATGGGTCGAGCATGGCAGCCGGGGCCTCACGTCTCTCCACACATCTCTCAGCTTCACTCTCTCGTTCCAGGTTCGGAGATATTGGCCAATGGTTCTCATATAGAGTTCCCATCTGTTGACCTAGCATCTATGGCCAGAAGGGTGAAATACTCTGAGGGACCTAATTTGGGTCTCACAGGCACTTCTGGTGCAGTCGATAGTGACTACAATAAAAAGACAATATCCTGATAGTAACTTCCCCCTGAATCAGGGGAAAAGATATTGCTCTGAAGAGTGCAGATGCTCTTACGGTCAGACAAAATTAGACATTAGCAGTATGGCCCCGCTCAAAACATTATTATCAGTATATTTTAGACAACATAGATTATCAAGAATACATCGTTTTACCTAATTAGCTATACTCTTACTTTCTTTCACTAGAAAAATTATATTGTCCTTTAACTCAAAGAGAATTAGCTTTTAAAAGAGTCCAAATATATAGGAAAAGGTGTTACTCTCTGGTCTTTTAAAATCAGACAGGAAAAAAAAAGAAATCCTTAAAATAAAAACGTTATCTTTTTAGTATTTATTTTGTGTGTATAAAGAAAGCAGGAAATGACAAGTCCAGTATAAATTGAGTTTACCACACCCCCAAAAAAAGTGATAATCCATCTTACCTCTTTCAATTATTGTATTGTGAAGTACAGTTTGAGAATGGATCAGTGCAGGAAATGTTTTTCCCTCCAAATAGGTTTCCCTCATCACTTCTTACAATCTGCATGGAAACTTTCCTTAAATCCTAACTTTAACGATACAATTAATTTTCATGGAGAGAGTGATAACTTGAAAAAAAAAAATGCTCAGCCTTATGCAAAAAAAAAAAAAAATACACTTATCAATGTATTGCAGTCTTTTTCCATGGGGATTTTTCAAAAATGTTAGTTTATCTCTTCTTATGCATACATTTATTTTAAGTCTTCCTGGGCTCGTGTGAGACTTCCATTAGTTCTGTAATGATACTAATGTGCTTCAAATCTCCAGGAACCAGGCTTTAACTGACTCTTGTTTTCCTACGAGGCCAGTTTCCACCACTTGTTGTCATTAACAATTGGAATTGTCATGAATGTGGGAATCCCAAGATCTCAGAGGAGCTTTTTGCTTTTACATGCTCTGAAGCCCCTGGGCTTCATCTCTATTTTTGCTGTTATATTGTTCCACTGATGGTTTTCTTTTTTCTCTTCTATTTCACCTGGAAATGGTCATTTGCCCAACATTTCACTGTTTCAGGTCTACTTGGATTCTTTTTATGACTCTAGATAAAATCTGATTCTCCAGTGAATAAATGTCAATGTTAAACACATCCCCCTAATGTAGACTAGGGGGATGGGTAATGCCTTTCATCCTTTTAGATCTACCTCTCTGGTTGATATCACTTTTGGGTTGCTAATGACCAGATATGATTACTTTGGGATATTAAATCTGTGGCCTTTGAAGAATTCTTTGGTAAGCTCAGTTCAGTTAGCTGACCGCACATAGAATAAAAATGTCTCCATTGTTAACCCTAATTTGGTACTTTAGGGAAGAAGAGAGATAAACTTTCACTAGCCTTTGTTAATCTAGATTCCAGATTTTACCTTTTTCAGTGATATTTATGCATAGATTTGAAATGATTTGGCTTAATTTTAAAGAAATAAATGAAAATACTGACATCATTTTATAGAATAAATTGAGAAAGAAATTAATTTATTATTACTATTATTTACTTACACGTTTTAGACTGCCACCTACTCAAAGAAAAATTGTTAGAGTAGCCTTTCTAGACATGTAAACTTGAGTATTAAGCTGATTTGACAGAATTTTGTCCTGAAGCAAAGTATATGATTGTCATATTAACTGAAGAAATAGTGGAAATAGTTTTTAATTATCCACATTACTTTCTCAAATTTCCTGTAATGCTGCTCATTTGGGATACAGTTAAGGGTAGATGGAAAAATTTAGGCAGTATGACTTTCTACTTGAAAACCTATGTGTGAATTTCTTCCTTAAGCAAATCTACCTCAAATTAATATAAAAATATTTATTACCATAACCTTTTCTTTTCCTCAGTAAATAAATATTGGAGGAGGAGTGTCTATCTGGAAATTGGTCTTTCTTATCTGTAAGGAGCTGTAGGGGTACTTTTCTTTAATAGCTGATGTTTGTATGGGTGTGTATATAGCAGACTTATCAATGCAAAGCAGTTTAACTAGAATGACTTACTCATTTATTATAATCTTTTTTTAAAAAAGCTATATCGTGTGGGCACCCAGGAGTTCCAGTCAATGCTATCCTAACTGGAGAACTGTTTACATATGGGTCCATAGTTCACTACTCATGCAAAGGTGGCCGGAGTCTTATAGGAAACAACACTAGAGTTTGTCAAGAAGACAGTCACTGGAGTGGAACACTGCCCCACTGCACAGGTGAGGGATTACACAATAATATTATTTTTGAAATATCCTAAAATCTTATTATTATTTGAAATTGTTATCATTCCATTTCCAACCAAATGTACCATTGTTATAGATCACCACTATCATCTACATCATTACCATTAACCCATCCCTTTAAATTTTCTCCTGTAGGAGTCTTAGGACTTTCTTGATCACCCTTGCTAAGAGGCTCACCTGCCCTGGCTCAGTTTCTTCCTGTTTGCTCTTCACTCTTTTTCTGTGCTTCCTCTCCTACATTTTCCCCGCCCCTCTCATCAATAATTTCATTGATCCTCTTTGAAAAAAAAAATCATCTTAATTCTTCCATTAGTGCTTCTTAAATAAAATTCAGTGAATCAGCAACTCTGGATATAATTGTGAAGAATCAAACCTTTGTTTATTTTTAACGTTCCCAGTACACCTTAATGCATCTCCCCATTGCTGTCCATACATACCCTTCCAGTGAACACTGCTGTGTTCACCATTCACAGATTCTAAAAGAATATCATTTATTCTCATAACCATATTTGAATAGGATATTTTGATTTTAATCACACAGGAACAATGTCTTAAATTCTTCCATTTTTGGACTACCATGAACAAAATGGGAGAGTTTTGTGGCTATAACTCATGTTAAATACATATTTTAATAACTTCTCATTACCTTTAAACATAACAACTCTGTTCTAAACAAATATAATACAACTGTGCATTGCCGTATGTGTTTATGTTCAATAGGAAATAATCCTGGATTTTGTGGTGATCCAGGGACCCCAGCACATGGGTCTCGTCTTGGGGATGAATTTAAGATGAAGAGTCTCCTCCGCTTCTCTTGTGAGATGGGCCACCAGCTGAGGGGCTCTCCCGAGCGAACGTGTTTGCTCAATGGGTCGTGGTCAGGACTGCAGCCCGTGTGTGAGGGTAAGTAAATTTAAGTTATAAAGTCCACCTTGGACGTTAAGACCATGTAACTCATCTAAAATCCCTGGTAAAATTCCACAGAAACCCTAAAGAAAATCCTAGAATGGACCCTAGAAAATCTATAGGATTTCTGCAGAATTTTGCCAGCGATTTTAGAATGGATTACATTCATTTGTAAGGGTTTGTACAACTAAACCCTTTCCCTACCAAATTTGTAAGAGCATCATCAAAAATTATGACTGGGTAATAGAACTATCTTGACTGCTTAAAGATCCTATGGTCCTGATCCTTTGAAAGCTTTTAATACGAATTGAAGTTTCTGATCTTCTCCTGATGATAATCTATATATTACTTTGCCATGTTTTATAGATCCTGGTGGTTAATGAATGAGATTAAGGAGCTATGAGGAAGAGCAGTGAAAATCACTGATGGAAATTTATTCAAGCAGGAAATAGGTTTCAATTTACAGGTCATTTCCAATCTACTGGTGGCCCTCATCCAGAGCACTCTGTTACAAAGTAATGTAAGGTTACATTCAGCATGATACTTTGGAGTCAATACATTTGATTTTAATACTTGAGAGGCACAGTAGGAAGTGGTTGGATACTCCAGTAATGATGGTAAAAATGACATGGACATTTGCCACGAGTTGGCAAAGTCTGCCTGAAGCAAAGCAGAATCAAAATGAAAATAATTTGTTTAAAGTTCAGAAAATAACTGATTTCAAATTCAGACAGATAAGACTTTAAATGTTGGAAATTCTTTCCAGCTGACCTCTCAATTTTTAAATCATTGATTATACAAATTAATTATGTGTTTTTGTATGGAGAAAACTCTTTCTATATAATTTGACCAACTTGAATAAACTCACACAATATCAGTACCAAAAATTTAATTCGTGTTTCCTTAAACTTTAATTTTTTCTACTATACTATGCCATGTCTCCTTCTACCTGTCTTATTTTATCATATATATTGCATAGATAAATATATAAGATACATATACAATTTAACCATATTATATATCATCTACATAATATAACATTTTATATATAAATAAGATAATCTTTTGTATGTATATACATATGAATATATGTGTATATCATACATATATGCATGCATATATATGCATGTATATTCCCATTCAGAGAACAAGATTATCTTCGGTTATATATATACATATAATACATGCATTTATATATATATGAGGGTACTTCAAAATGCTCATGGATATTTAAATTAAAAGATACTATGAATCTTACCAAGAACTTTTTTTTTTTTTTTTGACCGGTAAGGGGATCGCAACCCTTAGCATGTTGTGGTCTGCACCATGCTCAGCCAGTGAGCACACCGGCCATCCCTATATAGGATCTGAACCTGCGGCCTTGGTGCTACCAGCACCACACTCTCCCAAATGAGACACAGGGTCGGCCCCTTCTAAGAACTTTTTGAAAACTCTCACCTGCACATCTGAACCTGCGGCCTTGGTGCTACCAGCACCACACTCTCCCAAATGAGACACAGGGTCGGCTCCTTCTAAGAACTTTTTGAAAACTCTCACCTGTTTCACTTATTGGAGGGAGCTAAAGGTGAATGCACACACACACACACACACACACACACACACACACACACACACTCATGCATATATGATAATCAAAGATAATTTTTGACTGTGAATTGCCTTTTGACAATCAAGTTAGTGTACATTTTGAGGCTAGGCCCTAAAGAAGTTGTCTTAAGTCAAATATAATTGAATAACAGTGAGAAATGTCATGAGTTGAAAGTTAATATTTTTCCATTCCTCTGGGTATATTCCCAGCAGTGGGATAGCTAGGTCATATGGCAGATCTATCTGCAACAAGATATACATGTTCCCCAATGTTCATTGCAGCACTCTTCACAATAGCCAAGAGCTGGAATCAGCCCAAATGTCCATCATTGGATGAGTTGATATGGAAATTGTGGTATATCTACACAATGGAATACTACTCCGCTATAAAAACGAATGAAATACTGCCATTTGCAACAACATGGATGGACCTTGAGAGAATTATATTAAGTGAAACGAGTCAGGCACAGAAAGGGAAATACCACATGTTCTCACTTATTGGTGGGAGCTGAAAATAAATAAATAAATTCACACACACACACACACACACAAACACAAAATCCGGGGGGTGGGGGAGAAGAAGACTTAACAACTACAATTCCTTGAAGTTGATACAACAAGCAAACAGAAAGGACACTGTTGGGTGGGAAGGGGGAGAGGGAGGAGGGAGGGGGGTTTCGGTAATGGGCCACAATAATCAACCTCATTGTATATCAACAAAATAAAATTTTAAAAAAAAAGAAAGTTAATATTTTTACTGACTGAAGCATATGATTGTAAAGTAGTAAACAGTTTTTTACTGAAACACAATTTTTTTCAATTTTCTCCCCTCTTGAGAGATTTGATTATTAAAATTTCTATGACATCAACATTTTCTCATGAAAACCAGAGTATTTTCTATTTTATAACAGAGTACTTTAAGTGATCATATGGGATAAGTTTTTATCACCAATATGTTGACAAAGAGGGGTTATGTGAGTTCTGTTATGAAACATTGAAGAGACATCATGTCTGTGGTATTGCTGTTGAAATACATAACCTGAATCTACTCAGGAGGAGAGAGCAGAAAACACTGAAGGACATGCAAAGAATCAACTTGCCTGAACTCTAGAAGAAATGTCAAGTTCAGAAAAGACAGAGTTTGAAGAACTCTTTCAGATTTAAGAGACATAATCCATGCAATGTGTGATTTTGGATTAGGTCCTACACTTGGCAAAAGACAGTTATAAAAGATATGAATGGGAAATAGAATCTGACCCTGAGGTGATCCAGATGATGAAAAATAACCTACAGGACTTTAAAGCAGCTACTAAAAGTATGTTCAAGACCTAAAGTAAAATACATTGTGAATGCATATTAGATGATAGCATTGTATCAAAGTTAAATTTCATGATTTGTTATAATTATATTATGGTTTTGTAAGAGAATGTTCTTCGGAACCACACACTGAAATATTTAACTAGGAATGGTCATCATGTGTGTAACTTACTCTCAAATATTTTAGAAAAAAGTACATACATATTTAGAGAAAAAAGAGGGAGAGAGAATATTACTTGATTAGTTTTAGCCTTGGTTCTGAATAGGTGAATTTTGAAGAGTTATACATAGATTTTTATAGCAAATATAATTAGAATGCAATATAATAACATCATTGTCCTTTGTTGGTTTGTTAAATTATGTACTGGATCAAATGTAATTCCTTTCAATGATGGGCTTTCAACTAGTAAATCTACACAATGCCTGTTGTATAAGAAGTGATGAATATGTGTTTGTTGGATGAAACTTGTCTTGAATAGTCCAACACTTTGACTTTTTTGCAATATGAAAATTTAATTTATATCATAGTCATCATTCAATTTCCGGGCTTTAGGGAATTTTAGATATTATCTGCTCCTGGATTAGTGAATATAACTCAACTCAAATATTGACCAGGAGACTCTTAACAGGTTTGTGTTAGAAAGGATTGTAAATTCAAACCCAGATTCATCAGGGAAGATGTTTGTTATTAATTATGTCTGTGATGGGCACAGGTACAGAAACACCACCATGTGTGCTCAGTATTATTTTTTCAAACAAGATCCATTTCGACGTGAGCATAAGTGCATTTTTCAATGTGATAAGAAAGATAATCCCCTAAACTTCCAGTAGAGTGATTTTTATATGTAATGCAAACTTTGCACCCTGTCTTTTATTTGTTTTTAAGAAAAATGTATCTTTGTTCCCAAGCCTAGATTTGAAAGTGGAGCAACTAGATAAGCGATAGTATTTTCAACTATTTTGGTCATTCTGAGAATGATACATTCTCTGTATTACAATCCAGCCAAGTGTCAAATTCTTTATTTGTCTACCTGTTGTACATTACTGTGACAGAGGGAAGGAGAAAACATAACAATCTTTCTGGTAAATAGGCTTGACTAAAAAGACAAAAAAAATTATTATAGTTTGAAATAGTCACCTTTAAATGTACCCAGCAGCAGCTGAACTTTCGTTTGCTGAGGAGGACACAAAATAGATACATGGGATGTAATGTGTTGCCTTGACCATCATTAAGTGAGGTCTTAATGTCTTTCTTTACATGGCATTAAGATCCTCTTGAGAGAATTATAAAGTGCAACCACATCAAAGCCATAACATAGTTGCCATTAGATTTGTAACACTGAGGAGAACATTTTACAAAACAGTTTAAGTGTAGTTATTCATATTCCTAAGTCATTATTTTCTAAAATTAAGTTCTCTTGGAGATGTGAAATATGACCTGATTTGCCCAGACTAAAAAAAAAAAAAAAAAAAAAAAAAAAAAAAAAAAAAAAAAAAAAAAAAAAAAAAAAAAAAAAAAAAAAAAAAAAAAAAAAAAAAAAAAAAAAAAAAAAAAAAAAAAAAAAAAAAAAAAAAAAAAAAAAAAAAAAAAAAAAAAAAGCTATTGCATGAAGTGGAATGCTTCTGAGCTGTAGTATTATATATATGCTTTTTTAAAAATTACAATAATTCTATCTTGGTATTAAAAAATGTTCAATCCCAAAGTAGCAAGGCTTTGAGTTTCCAGAGCTTTCACTCATATTTCAATTTGTTTGGAAATAATGCACTTTAGGAAAGATAATATGAAAATATATTTTTTACATTTGTAAGCAAATAAAATAAGCATAGGAGTCATATAGTAAAGCATATATGAGTACTTCAAAAAGTTTGTGGAAAGATCCTTATTATCTTTTTTTCCCCCACGAACTTTTCTAAGTACCTCGTATTAAAGATCTCACGTAGCAATGTGTCCTGTAGTTTTGTAATGGATGTGTCATCTATTAAACTGAAAACCTTTGGTCTCCCGTGTTTGTCATTGTAGTAATGGGTCACTCCTTTGTGTGTTATTGTTCTTGTTTTCCCAATAGCTGTGTCCTGTGGAAATCCCGGCACACCCACCAATGGCATGATCGTCAGCAGTGACGGCGTCCTGTTCTCCAGCTCGGTCATCTACGCTTGCTGGGAAGGCTACAAGACCTCGGGCCTGATGACCCGGCATTGCACAGCCAACGGGACCTGGACGGGCACAGCACCAGACTGCACAAGTCAGTAACCCACTGTCACGGTAGACTCAAGGACATTACTGTGAAGTCCACTCCACCGAGAAAAAAAAAATGTGATTTTAACATGTTTTCTTGATTTTTTTAATTCGTAGAGAAAAATGTGTGTTTAATATTGTGGTTGTACACCCTAGGTGCTTTACAATTGTTCTACATTTTCTTATTTATGCAGTTGAAGCTACTTTAAGTGGTCACTTGGGTTGGGAATTGTAAAACTGAGGCCAAAATAAGTCAAGGCATTCTCTGCTTATAGACCATTTAGTCTGCAGAGAAACGAGAAAGTTGTTTGATTCTCTGACCACAGGCTGCGGTCAGAGAACCAAACACTGTTCTCATTTCTCTAATCACACACCATGCCTAATAGGGACTAGTCATGGGATAGAAGCCGACATCCCCATAGCCAGCCCCCAACAGAAAAGAAAATAAGTGATTAGAAACACAGAACTTCCTGACAGTGGTCAGTAAAATCATCAAACAGAGGATAGTTTAATCACTTTTGTAATTTATTGCTTAATCATTTTGAATAGCAGCTCAAAGAGAGTAACTAGAAAAGAAACCATGGCTAGTTCATGTCATGATCATTTTGTATTTCTCTGATTCTTTCTTGTGATGTGCTTGTTAGTTATAAGTTGTGGAGATCCGGGTACGCTGGCAAATGGCATCCAGTTTGGGACTGATTTCACCTTCAACAAGACTGTGAGCTATCAGTGTAACCCTGGCTATCTTATGGAGCCCCTGACGTCATCCACCATTCGCTGTACCAAAGACAGCACATGGAACCAGAGCAAACCCGTCTGCAGAGGTATGTGCCATTACTTTTGTGCTCTTACTGATGTGTATAGAAGCACTTACAGAATTTTGTTTTATTTCATTTTGCAAATGTATGAAATCCTTCTAGGATTAAGAAATAGGAATTCTTTTTTATTTTTATTATTATTATTTTTTAAGTTTATTTATTAATATTATTTTTTTACATTCTAAGATGTTGTTGAGGAGGAGTTGGAGGGGAGGGGGAAAGAGAAAGGGGGAAGGAAATAGGGTGGGAGAAGGAAGAAGGAGGGTGGGTGGGGTTGAGGCACCAGGCAACCCCCCCCATTCCTGCAGGGGAGACCAGGGGGCTTCCAGGTGTGGCTTGGTCATTGCTGGGCTGGATGCAGGTGTTGATTAGGGTGTATCTGAGGCCCTCAGCCCTCCCCCAGCCCTGGCCTGGGAGTCCAAATGGCTTCCAGTCCTCCAGATCCTATAGGTTCTCCTTGGTGGTGTTAGATATTCACTAGTTAATATCAGAACTTTGTCTCTGATCTGTTCAGGTTTTTTGTTTATTCTTTCAGTCGGTGTTGAATTATTTGCTGTTCCCACCTCTTAAACTCTGCAGTGGAACTAATTTGTTGTCCTTTGCTTACTTCTAAAATGGGGGCACTTCATGTGGGGACCGGCACTTGAGTCCTGTGGTTGAGCTAAATTGCTGTTTTGCTGCTGGTTCTCTGGGGAAGGCTTTTTGTGCAACTCAGGTTTTAATTGCTGATCTTGTAAGCACTTCTGGATCTTGTGAGGTCCAGTACACCTGGGTTGTGTGGAAACTATGGTCTGGGCCTGAGACTTTTCAGGAATCTGCTCCCTCTACGGATCTAAATTCCTGACCAATCTCCACTCAGTGATCCTGTGCTGACTGGAGGGGAGATCAGCTGTCCATGCTGTGCCCCAATGTTCCTCTGGTGGGCCTGTCTCCCCCACACCCCACACACTTCCCATGGGACAGGCCATGTGCTGGTCCCTTGCGATGACTCACTGGCTTCTGAGTGGCTCCTTTTATCAGTTGTCTGTGGCTCCTCACTCCCGTGTGAGTCCACAGGAACCCTGTTAGTGGTCCTGCTGGCCTGGGGGCCATCAAGGCCCTCTTCTCCCCTGCAGCCTCCAAGCAATCCATCCAAAGGTCACAGCTGCAGCTTCTGCCAGCTCTTGCTAGCTTGTGCTCCATGTGCTCACCAGGGCCAGCCTTGAATCAGCCAGGGCTCAAAATAGTGGAAGCGGTCCTTTCTTTCTCTCATCATGGCTTCTCCTACCTTCATGCACTCCATAGGTCTCTCCTCCTCTTCCCCTGAGCTCTAGTGGCCCCAGATTGGCTGTCATTACTTTCTAATAGTTGTAAATTGGTAGAATGTAGGAGAGAGTGATGCTGGGGACTGTCTATTCCGCCATCTTGACTGGAAGCCTCAAGAATTAGGAATTCTTGAAAACCCATTTGCAAATATTAAATCACTTTATTTTCATAATGACTTAATCTCAGTTTTACAGATGGAAAAACTGACTCAGAGAGGTGTGGTAAATCACTATCACAAACCAGAATTTGGAGATGTCAGGTTGAGATGACGGTCATGCAAGCTCTAGAGTCTGTGTTTGAGTGCCTGTGCTTTGCTGTCTCTTGGTAAACATGTTAATCCTGGCTGTGTTAAGTCTTCTGGCAGATATGATTTAAATGCAATCAAAGAAATTTAAATGCATGTTAGAGAGAGAAGCTAATCATGAGATAATGGCCAAATACTGGTACAGTCTATTACTGCCATGATGTCATGTGTGGGTTGGATGCCACAACTGAAGGTGACACATACCAAGAAGGTGCTTGATGACACATATAATTGGAACTTCTGGGGGATCATAACAGGCTCAAGCCAGTCAGGGTAGCTTGAGCAAAGCAGAGTAAGTGGGTTGGAAGTGGGGCTGGGTGAGGATTGTAGGCGGGTGGGGGCCTTGCATGGTCAGGACTTACCCACCAGCCCCAAAGAGGGAGCATGCAGCTTCTTGCCAGCTGGCATAGAGGAGGGGAATGAAGGGAAGGGGTGGGGAGAAGGGCTTGAGAGCTGATAGTGGTCAAACGTGACAGTGTGCCATCTTCCTCTGAGTAGGAGTGAGTGCTAAAACTCTTGGTGGCGTCAATGGAGAAGGTGTCATCCTCAGCAGGCTCTTAAAGGCATGTGGTTTAGTGTAGACAGCGTGTTGTGAGGTTTAATGAGACCTAGACGCGTCTCTCTCCCCTCTGACACAGCAGTTTCTTGGACCGTTCTCCTTTCTCTCCCAGTGGAGTCTAAGGATCTCACAGGCTTCTGATTTTTCCTGGCAACTCTTAATTCTACACCTGTTACATAATGGGTTCTAGATAAATGTTTAATGAAACTTGCAAAGTTGTGTTGGGCATGTTCCAGTCAAGTGGTCTTGATGGAAATTGCTGGTGAAACGGTGTGGCCCATGGACTTTATACATGCTGTTATAGATGTCAGTTCCTCTTCTAGTACCCAGTGTGTTCATCACAATCACCGCAGCCACACACTCCAGCCAGGACCTCTCTCCCCCCTTGAACTTTTTTCTCATTGTTCACCCCGTCACCCCTCTGTTGAACTATGCTGCTCATCACTGTCCTCACTTGGGCCTCACACTGGTGTTCCTTCTGACGAGATCACCTGTTCCCCTAAACCTTACTTGTGGATTCTCAGGAAATATCTGTTGAATAAATAAACAGATGTGTAGAAGATTGAGTGGCAAGAGAAGGGCCCATTTCTAACTGCTGGTGTGGACATGTGGTTCATGTGTGTCTGTGTGTTGTCCATGAGAAGGCATGGACATGAACGTGCTGAGAGAATACAGGTGCCTGTCCTCCCCTGCACCTGCTGCTGCCTACAGTGTTATTTGAAAACTTCTACCAAATTCAAAACTTCAGGAAGATTTTGGATCTTCAGTGAAGGTTTTTAGATGGTGATTTTTTTAGATGTTTCTGCCCACTACTGTACACCTTAGTCCAGTGTGGGGGAGGCAGACCTGGGGACCATCACCAATCAGCATGTCCTCTCTAGGAACCAAGGTCTTGTTTTGCAGCTCTGTAAGATAGACCTCAATCTCCAGGACTGTGATGAAACTCTTGCAGAAGGCACATTACAGAATCTTCTTTAACCACTTAAGCAATTTTAAAAATTACTCAACAAATGGATGAGCAGAATACATCATTTTGAAATTAAATTTTATCTTTAAATAAAAAATACAGATGGCAGGAGAAATTCTTACGATCTGTATATATGAAGGTATTCAAAAAATTTGTGGAAAAATAAAATTGAAAGGTAATGTGAATCTTTCCATGAACGTTTTGAAGACCCCTCATATAAATTCAAAAGGTTATACTCATGTCATATGGCCAAGTCTTATTTGATTTTCCTAGGTAATCATCATATAAAGACATAAATTAGATAAGAACATACTTTCCTCTTCTGGCCTTGTATATATTGAGAGTGTTGTGTTCAATCCCGTTTTCTTCTACAGTGTGACATGTTTTGACTTGATCTAAATTCGGGAAGAAATATTGGAGAAAAGTTTTACTATTTGGATTTAATGTCTTTCTCAGTAATTCTTTTATTTAAAAACAAAACAAAACAAAACAAAACATCTATGTAGATGTCATTTGTGATTCAGGTAAATTTAAAATGTGAATGGTTTGAACATTGCAGCTGTGTTGGGAGTTCTGGAATGTGTGATCTTGTTTGTTCTTTGGAAATAGCTGTCCTGTGCAGTCACCCTCCTCAAGTGCACAATGGAAGAGTGGAAGGGACTGATTTCCGCTGGGGCTCCAGTGTAAGCTACAGCTGTGTGGACGGCTACCAGCTCTCTCACCCGGCCATCCTCTCCTGCGAAGGGCATGGGGTGTGGAAGGGAGAAGTTCCCCAGTGCCTGCGTAAGTTCTGCAGCAACACGCCATGCTGACCACAGGCACAACAGCGTTGGTAATCTGGGCTTAGCCTAAGGTTACAATGGGAAGGACAGGGTGAGGTATAATTACAGCCACGTTAGAGTGTGCACAAACTCAAACTTGAGACCACATTGCCCAAGGGCAGATAATTTTAGTCATTTATTGGTTTAATAGTTAAACTTAAAATTTAACAGAAACTTGTTAAACAAGTTCATAGTTTAACCTGATCCAGGGACACTTAAAGCTGACTTCTTCCTGGTTGTTTTCTGTAGCTGTGTTCTGTGGAGACCCTGGTATCCCTGCTGATGGGCGACTTAGTGGGAAAAGTTTCACCTATAAATCTGAAGTCTTCTTCCAGTGCAAATCTCCTTTTATACTAGTGGGATCTTCAAGAAGAATCTGCCAAGCTGACGGCATGTGGAGTGGTATACAACCTACCTGCATTGGTAATAATTATAATATAGCCCAAGGACGTTTGGGGATGAGGAGATTTTATTTCAAAATTGAATTATTGTGGTTACATAATGTTTCCTGTGCAAGGTAATATTCTTTAAGTAAGCACTAATTGGCTAAACTGACGTGCAGCCTCTTTTAAATTGTAGAAACTAACTTTGGAGTTTAAGTCAGCAGAAGTCTGCTACAATGGCTCCCAGACTTCATTCTCTTCCCTCAATGTCCCCATCCCCTGTCCATCTCAACCGACAGCTGCGTTGTTTGCAGGGAAGCCATCTTCACTGAGATGTAGTATTACCGTTCTCTGAAACAGCCAACGCCAGACAGATAGCCTAGCTGTCGTTTTATAGCTGTAGACTCAAGTTTTATTGTTGGGTAAATTTTGTTCACCAAGATTTACTCAACAGAGGAGTGGGTGTTCTGCAAACCTGAAGTAACAAATTCATGATTTATACTCTAGATTATTTTTTAAGAAATTGAATATCTCCTTAAAAGTAAACAGTGTTAGAAATAATTTTATTAATGCATTTTTATAATAATAGAAATATTTACTATCATTTGATATAAATATAAACATAAATGTTAGAATTCCTATAATAACTATGACCGGTGACCGTTTTTTTTTTTTTAATTGTGAATTCCAGATCCTGCTCATAACACCTGCTCAGACCCTGGTACTCCACACTTTGGAATACAGAATAGCTCTAGAGGATATGAGGTATTCCATGTTTATTTTACTATGAGTTTCTAGAAATATAAAATGTAATTGATACTTAAACTTTAACACACATGCACATTATTATATACCATATCGTATTCATGTTATATTTGCCTACGTAAAACTCATTCAAAGAGGATTTCTGCACGTATTTTTAACAACTGTTGAAATCAGGATAACTGTATATATCTTTATTACTACAGTGACAATTGCTATATTTATATCTATTTGAAAACATGCATAATTCTGTGTTTTTTGTCTGCCGAATGCACATGGCAATTCTCAAATCAGGGTGGCCTGTCACTGAATAGTTACACAAGACAGACTCCATTTAGGGACTTGATATGACAAATAATATTAAGTGTTAGAGACAAAAACAGAAAAGGAAAATATATTCAAGGATCTTAGTCTAAGTTTACTTGTGATGTCTGTTCTCCATATGACCTCTTAAAGCTCTGTGAATGATTAGCATACTGAATATTGCTTTGGAATGTTCATTTGACTTTTAACAAAATGTATATTAACACTTCAGTTGATATTAGAGAAACACCTAAAACTGGAAGGTGATGAAGCTTGAAATAAAATGTTTTAACCATCTTAACTAATCAAGTAACTTCATGGCTCTCTGATTATATGACTGTGAAAACCAAAGTAAAATATGTGTACTACTTTCAAGTTAGGGATCCCATCAATTTAAAATAAAACAACATTTTCCTAAGCCACTACCCCCATCTCTCTTGAACACTAAAATATTCCTATTTTAATGTCTCCAACACACATTGACTATTTCCTAATAGTTCTCTTACATTCCACAAAGGAAATTCTTACAGTTAGCCAATAGGTTAAATCTAGCAAATTCTATATTAGGTTCCAAATATGGCCTTAAACTTCAGGTGAATGCTTTCTGGCCTATAAATATGTAATCCCAAATATCTAGGAATATTGGAAAATACTATATGTGGGTATTGCTCTCACTAATTCACTATGAACAAGAAAAGCTTAATCACCACTGATCACCGCTGCTTTTAAAAATTATCAACTTGCCTGTGCACAACTTAAGAGTAAGTAGAAGTGTATGGTGACTGTGTTTACCAACATATTCCTACGACCTATCACAAGACACTAGGGTGGGATAAATTCCTCACCCTCCTTATGACAAAATAAAGTTACATTAACACATGTAATAGATTGTGCCCAACAAGATTTACTTTTAATTTAAAAGACGTGGCCACCATCTTTTAAGGAAATGATGGAGATGAGATGCAGCTCTTCCAAAATGTGATTTTTTTTTTTCTGTTCTCCTCATTAGAACACATCTTGGTTTTGAATGTAACAGATGAAATGTTTGTCTGTTTTCTTTAGCACTGTATGCTGAGATATTACTTATACAAAGTGAACCATTTCAGTTTTGGAACATCCCTATCTTATACTATGTTAATTGAGCAATTTAAGTGAATAGTTCCCATACTCCAGACAGGCATATCCCATAAATCCAAAAGCTCCAGGTTAGTGTATAATAAAAAATTTAGAGTGGGTTGGTACATCCTGATAAAAATGTTTTATTGAGAAGGACACAATATTCACTCTGTGGCAGTGAATGATAAAGGATCTCCATTATCTTTCTGCTGGTAAATGATGTTCTGACTGGAGCCACTGACAGGCTTACCAGGAGGTTTGATGGGAGCCATCCTTTTCCCATCACTGAATATCAATTTATTGATTGATTTGAACTTTAGATAAGTTTGGATGTTTTTCTTCATAAATTCCTACTTCCACTTTATCAAGTGCTAAGAAGCTTTTTTCCCCCATATCCTTTATCACTATTCAGTACCAACAGTTTCCTCACCTTTTCCTTATCATTTTCCTTCCCAAAATCCCAGTGAGAGAGGTACGAGCCAACCCTTATGAGAAGACACAGGGAAATTAAGTAACTGGTTTAAATTCTCAGAGCAAGTATCAAGAAGGGTATTCAAATCTTTGGGCCCTTACTTGGTACTTTTAAGTGTCCTCATAAGTGAAACTTTAGGAAACAACTTGGCTCCCACAAGGCAGCTTTTCACTCATGGCAGCTATTTCGCTGTGTTGCTTTTTTTCTATCCACCTTGCCAGTCTCCTGCTCCAGATATAAATGATCACGGATGGTCTTTGGAGCCTCTCAACACACGACCATCACTCATTCTCTTGACAAAAAAAAAAAAAAACCCTTAGGGATCACTGGGAATCTCCCCTTCAAGGCACTTCCAGTTAAGTGAAGAAAATAGGTAGCTAAATATAGAGGCAATTTCAGTCCATCATGGGGAGTAACGCAGTGACACTTGATGCTGGTGGGATGCATTAGAGCAGGGTGCCGTTCATTCTTGGGAGATTAGGAAAGAGCATGCAGAGGCAGTGAAGTCTAAGCAAAGTATTGAGAATTCAGTGGGCATTAGCTTGGTGACGATCCAGTGGGGGAGATACGTCAGACATTCAGAAAACAGTAAGTAGCTCATATATTTTGAAGCACCAGAAGAATAGATTAAGTTTTGATTGGGTCTTCCAGGAATGTTAACAAAAGTAATTTTCTAATGAACAACAATTGTTTAAAATGTGAGCAGCAGAAAATTTTCTAATAAACACCAATTGTTTAAAACGTGAATAGCAGAAAAAATAATAGAAGAGGAAATAATAGTTATTACAAACTAAAGAGAGAACAATAATATATATATATATATTTTTAAAAAGATGACCGGTAAGGGGATCTTAACCCTTGACTTGGTGTTGTCAGCACCACGCTCACCCAGTGAGCAACTGGCCATCCCTATATGGGATCCGAACCCGTGGCCTTGGTGTGATCAGTACCACACTCTCCCGAGTGAGCCACGGGCCGGCCCGAGAACAGTAATATTAAAGAGAAAAAATGAACAGCCTCCTAAATTTTCACAGAACAATAATATTAAAGAGAAAAAATGAACAGCCTCCTAAATTTTCACAATTCACTATATCTAAGCTCTTACATCATTCATTGAGCAATCTATATTGTGTGTAATACTTTAACATGTGGTTAACATGTACATGTTAATTCAAACAATAATGACAATAAAGTAGAAAATTACTGGTATACTTTTTTACCTTGGCAAGTGTTCTCAAGCATTCCAAGTTTATATTCAGTAAGTTAGTTTTGCCTCTGAAGCTGATATTGGATTTCCTCTCTAGGTTGGAAGCACAGTTTTTTTCAGGTGCAGAAAAGGTTACCACGTTCAAGGTTCTACGACTCGGACTTGCCTTGCAAATTTAACATGGAGCGGGATACAGACTGAATGTATACGTAAGTGTAGTTCTTCCACACCATGACTAGTAACCAATTTATTGCTGAATGTCTGGGAAGTGCTTACCTTCAAGGAAAATAAGGAGGAACTGCTTCTGTTTGTGTGTTTTTATTTCTCTTATCCTAAACTTTGAGCATTTCTCAAAGTCTGGCTCTCTGGAACCAGCAGCATCAGCATTGCCTTGGTGTTGGTACCAGTGCCAGTTCTCAAGCCCAATCCCAGACCTGCTGAATGAGAAACTGGAGAGAGAGGGTGGGAGGAGGGAAGGAGGTCAGCAGTTTGTAGTTTAACAAGCCTCCAGTTGATACTGTAGCACACTGAAGTCTGAGAGACTGCTTGAAACCAAAGATAAGTGAATAGCATTATACTTAACATTTCTGGAGGAAAAACTTATTTGTGCATGCTATTATTCTTCTAGTATGTTTGCATCAGATATTGAAAAGGGGGTGAACTGGATCATGTAATATGTCAGAGTATAAGTAGAAATGTTTAAAATGTTGTTCTTGCTATGTATGTGAAGTATATATGAATTAATCATTCAAATAGTTACTTAAGGATCAAAGTTTACTTTGTGACAATTATATGAGCTAGAGAAAAGTGTTGTATGAATGATTAGTAAATAATCATTCATTTCAACCGCTATGAATTTAGAGAAATAGAGTGTCTTACTCTTACTATGTTAAACATAAAAACATCACCAGAGTGTTAGGAAAATTATTTTAATAGTATATAATACGTGATTTTTTGTGCATTTATCCATATTATCAGATGTGCGTTTATTTCAAAGCTATAATCTCTACTCCAAATCACTACTTCCATTATATGTGGATTCTATATACATATACATATTTATGTATTCACACACACAGACATATGTGTGTATGCATATGCATATGTGTATATTTATATGTACAATGGAACGTGCTAATATTAGGTCTTCACTATGTTGAAAGTTTAAAGCTTGCTAAAGTGTGAAATATCAATAATACTTAAAATAACGGCATTCACAATTTTAAAATTGTAAGATTGTTATGTAATAATCTGCCAAGTCCCTTAGTTAAGACATATGTGGTACTTCAAAAAGTTGGTGGAAAAATAGAATTAAATGATAACACAAATCTTTCCATTAATTTTTTGAAGTACTCTCGTATATGCAGGCTTTATAAAGAATGGAGTTATTTGAGATATAGAACAAACATTACAATCTCATTTATTCCTAAATTACATTTTTAAAGAAAATAAGAATCTATAATATTTTAAGTAAGTGTCTAAATGCACGTTGAAATTTTACCAAAGTTAATTATTCATTTAATTGTGTATTAATTTTGCTAGTTGCCACCAGACAAAAATCAAGGCATGTTTCTGAATATGTGCCAGTCTGAATGTGTTTGTCTGTAAGACTGGTCTTTAAAGGATATTTAACATATTACGTTACTGTATATCAGAAGTATTCTGCTTATTTCAAAGCTGTGATATCTACTCAATCTCTACATACACACACACACTATATATCCATTTCTGAATTCTTTTGCTCTATTTATGTTTTGAGACACATGCTAACTTTAAAATGAACAGTTTCAGTGTTTCCTAATGGAATAAATACTGTTTCAGCTCATGCCTGCAGACAACCAGAAACCCCAGCACATGCCGATGTGAGGGCGATCGATCTTCCTACTTTTGGCTACACCTTAGTGTACACCTGCCATCCAGGATTCTTCCTTGCAGGTGGATCTGAGCACAGGACATGTAAAGCAGATATGAAATGGACAGGGAAGTCACCTGTTTGTAAAAGTAAGTCACTGATCAAGGAGAAAAAATACATTCCTAAAGATCAAGGAAAAGTATCCACTGCCTATCAGGCTAGTTTCCAGGTTTAAGATCCATAAGTAAATAACATTATGGAAGTGGTGTCATCGCCCTGCTTAAATTGTGCTTAATGTGTGTGAGCTGTGTGTGTGTGTGTATGTGTGTGTATGAATGTGGGTATATAGTAAGTGTTTGATACAATGACAGTATAGCTAAGTGGATACAAGAGAGTAGTTCAAAAAGTTGGTGGAAAAATAGAATTGCCAATCCAATCTTTCTATGAGGTTTTTGAAGACCACTTGTATAGATTTCATTAGTTGCTGATTACATTTTAAGCCAAAGAGAAAAGCCATTTGGTTGAAGAAAAGCATTCTGAGTTAAAAGGAAAATAATATACAATATATTTCCAGAAAATGTATTTCTTAAAGATGAAAATGGATAAATGACACCAAACATCGGAGAATATATAAATTAAACTCTGTGTTATTTTTAAAACCACAAGTTGTTTGATGGTGGAATATGTTTATTTGTTCTTGACATCGGTTCTACTTTTTAAAATTGCAAAGTAAATTAAAATGGAAATAATGTATTAATTATTTTCAAATTTGTATGTTTATAAATGAAAGCACTAACTCTGAGTCAGATTTGATGAAAGTGAAACTTTCAGGTTCTCACCAAACATGGATTATTGGAGGGGGTCTTCAAAAGTTCATGGAAAGATGCATATTATCTTTTAATTCTATTTTTCCATGAAGTTTTTGAAGTACCATTGTATATGCATCTAGCATTGAACAGCTTAAACAAAAATTATGGAGTGTGATGAAGTCAGTAACTTTAGTTTTCATTTCCTGGAGCCTTAAGAAACTTATGTGTCTCCTGCCTTCGCTGTCAGAAATAAAATACAGACTTAAAAAAAGGGTAATTTGTGATTTGATATAGAACTATAAAAGCTAAGAGATTGTGAGTTAATTCTAACTTGATAGACCAAATTAAACACTCTGCAAGATAAGTAATTTGATTTTCCCTAATATTAACTTATAAATTCATTGATTTATGTGGGAGACTAAAATTAAGAGTGATTATAAAATCTTATTTATTTTGGATATTATTTTTTAATTTGGGGCAGTATATCCCAAATAGAATTTGAGAAAATTGATATAAGCCACCCTCCTTTGCCAGGCTCTCTGTTGTAGCACCTTAAATGGAAATATACATGTTAGATAAATATACATTAGTTTTCACCATTAAATTCAGTTTTCCCACAATGACAGATCATATTCTGCTGGGAATACATGGGTTTAAAATGTATATGTATAAGATATTCATATTTTGTACGTTTTAAAAATCTAGAGAAAGGAAAATTGCTTCAATTTGACATTTTTTCAGCCTTATTCGAAAATAAATGTATTTGAAAATGATAATTTGTCTTTTTACTTGTAGGTAAAGGAGTGAGAGAAGTTAATGAAACAGTTACTAAAACTCCAGGTTTGTATACCAGACCAGTTACAGATTTCAATCAAATAAAGTGATTTGTTCTCTACTATACTCTGTACAATGAAACAATTTTTAACATTTAAATTTCTGAATCCATTAGTCCATGACAAAGTTAATGTTTCAATTATTTAAAACACCAGGTCCATGCAGATTTCTATTTCTTTCACAACAGTGGTTTGTTAATGGAATTACATTACTTTACTTAAAAAGAAAACCTTTGGTGTTATCTCTCACCGTTTCATTAAAAGGTGCCTTAGGTGTTTTGTAGGCAGAAATGGACATAAAACATCGTTAATACAATGTGATATAATGGAGAGCCTTATAAAGAGGGTGGCAATTCTTTCCTCCAAATGAGGAAGCTAACGTAAAGGAGGCATTTTGAGAACATAAGTTGTTAATTTGAACAGTTCAAATGTGGAGCCCCAGTATTTTTTCCAAGTATCACCATAATTCAGGCATCTTCTGCCTTCTAAATTGTTGATTATAGCTTTTTGTGGTATGTGGTGCCTTGCTAAATGCATTATACAGCAAGTTGGAAAGATGAAGTTCTGTTTCTTAGGGAAGGTTTTCATTACTTGACATCATGTGGCATATTATATCTGTGTTATAAATTTAGATAGTGTTTAAGTAGCAAAATGTGTCCCGAATTATTTTAAAACAAGCTGGGTTTTTTTGTTTGTTTTTGTTTTGTTTTTACCAGAAATAGAAAACCTTTATGAATATATAAGGTCATTTGATTAGTATTTTCCTTATTCAGGTTTTAACACTGGTTTCTTGGACATAAAGCTCAATTTAGAATAAAAAACAGAAAGAGTATTTGTCAGAATGCTGTGTTACATATTTAATTCTTAGATGAAGGAAAATGTTCCATTATAATTTAAGAAATTTCTTCAATCTATACAACAAAGAATAAAAAATACTTTTTATCATACCGGACTATTTTATTAAAGTACTTCTTACAAATCAAATACAGAAGTCAATACTCTGGGACTTTCTTCAATGGAAGGAAACACACCCTGTTTTTGTTGCTGTGTGTTTGTTCTATGATTTTATTTGCTTGTTTTGTGTTTAAGATATTGAAACACAAGATATATACTATGTACTCTTTTTGTAGGTGCAATTGTTATCATCAATATACCTTTTCTCATTCTTTCTGAAAGGAAGCACTAATTAAATATGGTTCTTTTTCAAGGTAGTACATTCTAACACATTCAGCTATTCGGTTGTTGCAATATTCTGCACACTACTACTGCACAGTCAAATGACAAGGACCAAAAAAAGATGATTTCTACCACAGGACTGATGGCCAGATTTGAATACAGAGAAGCCACTTCTAAGACACTGTTGATCCCTTACTCTACTTAGGCATAACACATTACTGTGATGCACCAACAAGAGTAACTTAAGTGAATGTCTTGAACAAATGCATTCATGTCTTCAGTTGAGTTAGGGAAAACAATCGTGATGCTGTTTTAAAGGCTGTTAATTTTAGTAAAGGAAAATAAGGTAAATTTGGGGTTACAGATTAAAACTGGTGTCTCTGCAGTGCTGCTGATGGATGAGTAGGTGTGTTTAATGTCAGTTATTTATAAGCAAATGTTTAGATACTTGTGTGGATGTGTCTACTTTTAACTTATTTTATTATTATTGTCATTGCTTTTAATATTAGGAAATTGGGTCTACTCAAGGCCATAGGAAGCTATTCCATTCTGTCCTTCTTTAACCTTTCTGCTGCTAGGCTGTGTTTTTGTAGGTTTAGCCTGTCTAGGAAGATGGGAATGGCCATTGGGATTGTGAAGAGAAACATGAACACGGGCACAATATACTTGTGCCTTCATCATTTGTGACTATATGTGGATTTAAAAATATACAGAGTTAGGGGAAAATTCATCTTTATTTCTACCTAGCAATACAAATAATGTGTTTTGACCAATTCTACTTATAGTGAATTTTGTCTAATTAAACAATTTAGAAATATCATGAGGCAAAAAGCAAAGAGAAACTTAGTGGAATCATTGATGTAGATTTATACATTGTAATACAATTCATTTTACGTGAAAATGGCAGCATTTTATATACGTTTCTTAGCAGAGATGTGAAAAATAAGTTTAGTTTTTTCATAAACTGAAAACAGGCGAAATTATCTCAATAATCTTTGCAAGTATTCCTGTCCTAGATGAATTGTATGCCTTAAAAGAATTTATGCCTTTTATTTCTGAATTTAAAGACATAAAAGGAACATTTGAGATGATTGAATTCATTCATCTTTCTCAATAATATTGGAAAATTTTATACACGGAGATTAAAGTAGAGTAGAAAAGCATGAATGACAGAGAAATCTGTTCTACTTACAAAATGACAACTTCAAGAAATGAAGCGCCTTTGTCTTCAGAAGCAGCATGTATCCAAAGTGGTGCTGGGAAATGCAAGCTTTTTGAGGGCAGGAAATTTCTGACACAGATGATATGTGACAGTTCTTCTGAGCCTTCTAAGTCTTTCAGAGTAGACTTGGATATTAGTGAAATATCAGCAGCCATTTCATGAGTCAGCTTAACACATTTCTTGCTAACCTAACATTAGTAATACCAATTCACCATACCCACTTGCCTTGGCAAGTCTGTTAAAGTACTTATACTTTAGCTTATAAAATACTTTTCCAACAAAGTGACAAATGTCTACTTGCAAACCACAGTTATCCTTCTACTTTTGACTTTTCCACATGCTATGAAAGAACAGTGCACTGGGTTATACTTGTCTTTATCACTGTCATCATCTGTGATCTCTCACTCACTGAACAGAATTATGCCTATGTTTAAAAAGTCTTAAGTTTGATGTTTGTGTGTGTGTGCTAACATTTGTCTGTTTTCCCCTCTTCCCACAGTTCCTTCAGATGTATTCTTCATCAATTCAGTGTGGAAAGGATATTATGAGTATTTAGGGAAAAGACAACCTGCAACTCTAACCGTTGACTGGTTCAATGCAACAAGCAGTAAGGTGAACGCAACCTTCACTGAAGCCTCTCAAGTGGAGCTGAAATTGACAGGTAGATCCCAAAGTATTTCCCTAAATGCATGATGTGAGCAGAAGAAAAGCCATGATATTATCAGAGAGGAGGGATGTAACTTTTATTAAGTACTTATTCACATCATGTTGGCTTTGTATATACTACATCTCATTAGGAGCCTCTCAGTAACCATGGTAGGTGGTATTATTTTTTAATTTTAAAGATTACAAAATCAGTGCAGAAAAGTGAATCTAAGATTTATATCCAGTATGCATGTCTCCAAACTTTATTCTTTTGATATCCTTTTTCCTAACTCATGCTCCTCATGGGCTGTTTTTGCCATCCCACAGTTAATAAAATAACAGCTCTGATTCCTATGCCAGATACTATTTTTTATATGTAATATCTTTTTCACTCTTAGATTAATCTTATGATGTAAGAACTCTTACTGAATACATTTTTAAAAACTGATTTAAAAGGAAAAAGAGAGAGAGAGACCCAGGAAAGTTAAGTAGCTTTTCTAAGGTGATATGGTCAGTAATTGTCAGAATCAGATTTGCATTTAGTAATGAGAATCTTGAGCCCACACTCTTAACCAATAAGCACAGAACCACCTTCAAGCCTAAATCTAGAGTAATTTTTTTAATTACCCCACTTCTCATAACCATGTATTATTTCGCCCTAGACTAACTTCTTTTAAAGGCTTGCAATTCTCCCTGAATTATCCACAAGGCTCTTGCCTGTTTCTGAATGCCAAGGGCCCCCAAAATGTCAAATACTGTCTCTGTAATCAATAGACAACCCAGTGATTAATCTTTAGACAGTATGACAGCAGGTCAAGTTGTTTCCACCTTCCCTCCCATCCCTTGTTCTTGCTTCCTTAGATGAAACACACCTGAAAATAGTGCACATGCCCTGGATTGGGAAAAGCAAAATCCTTCCTACTCATAGATGTTTAATAGGAATCTATTTATGAACTCATGGTGTCAGGCCCCCACAGTTCTCTACCTGGCACTTGTGAATGTAGAAATGATTTAGAGCAGGTACTTAAATCTAGTCACGTGTCAGAATAAATTAAGGAAATTAAAAAATATGTAAATTCCTTAATCTCACCCAAGTGGATTGGATAACATTTCTCTTCACAGAATCAGGGGTGTGAATTTTGTTTCCACAAAGAAAATGCTTCAATGGAGTTTTGACATGGCTAATCTCCATAAATTGGTGTAGGGAAATCTGTGGTCTAGACCTGGGAAAGTGCTTGTGTCAAGAGTTGTTCCAGCTGAGTCACAGGAGATATACAGACTTCCTGACGGTGTGACTTCTGACTTGAGACGAGGAGAGGAGGAAGGGAAATGAACACTTATGTAGTGCCATCTAGGACCCTAATAGTCTCTTGACTGCTGCTGTTTAACCACGCAAAATATCTCATAAAGACAGATTTTGTTATCTCTACCTACAGCTTGTAGAACTGGGGTTCTGAGCTTTAGAGGTTAAATGGGTTGCAAAGGAACATAGAGATGTTGGTGGTAGGAATGGGCACCAGCCCAAACTAAAGCCTGTAGCTGCTCCTTCTTGTGGGTTGAGCATTGGGTTCCCTGCTGTCCTGAGTGCTCTGCCGTGGAAACTGTTCCTGACACATTAGGATTCTGTTTCTCTGATCTGAGTTAGTGGGAATTCACTGCTGTACTTTCTCTGAAACTATCCTCATAATTGCCCCCTGAGCCATGTGTCTTCTCTGCACATGGGTCATTATGGGTTCAGTGTTATTGGTTCAGTATTTATTTGTTTGTTTGTTCCTTCACTTGCTTATTTACTTCCTCAGTTGGGTAGAGAACTAATCATAGCTACATCACATACAGCACATGCCCCAACATGTCTCACCATGTCCTCTCTGGGCAACCCCATTACCCACCCACCTGTATCAAGAGTAGGGACACGTGTGGTGTGCTGTTGAGTCATGCTGTGCCCAGTCTGTGGGCTGCATGAGTCTGTCCTTCACACTGTGCTCGCTGGGCTGTTCATTTTGTATGAGTAGGTGCACATCACTTATAAAATTAGCTGTATTTTGAGTTATGATTTTGGTCTGTTTTTTTCCTACATACTCCTGTTCTCAGAAGTGAATAAAATACAAATTTGAAAATGCTGGACTTTTTAATTAGCAGAATTAAATACATGTCACTTTCCTTTTTTTCTGTGGAAGAAAGATATTGAATTTAGTGACATATACTATACCCAATTAAGATAGACAGGGACTTTAATAAGTAATTTTCAGTAAAAAGCAAACAAAAAACAAACACTGAAGCTAAAATATAAAAATAAAAATAAATTGCCTGTTTGGATTTTCTGTTATCTATGATATTATCATCTCTGTACCATTTTCCAAATCAAATGGATTAAATGCCTGAATTATTAACTCTTGTGAATTCCTACAACATAAGACTAATGGACTGATTTTTTTGCAGGAGTTTACAAGAAGGAGGAGGCCCACTTACTTCTGAAAGCTTTTCAAATGAAAGGTCCAGTGGACATTTTTGTAAGCAAGTTTGAGAATGACAACTGGGGACTAGATGGTTATGTAAGTACTTGCATGTGGTTTTTTAACAAAGTACAGGTTTTCTAAACATTTCTTTGCCCACAGGTGAAGATTTCTGGATGGCAGGTTGTTGTGTCTGCTCTTTGAAAACTCAGCAGTCTGTCTTCTTGAAAGCATGGCCATTTTACCCCTTCATTTTAGAACAGAAGAAACCAATTCTCTGAAATTTACTGGAGAAATAAATTGACCTAGACTGAAGAGATTCTTTCTGTTGAAAACAAAACAAGACCTTAAATCCAGGTTCTGTGCTGTTAAAACCACATTTCTCCCTAAGAGTGGTGCAACCTAAAATTTTCCAAGACCATTTGGCAACCATTCTGAACATTCTGAAAAGTAATCCTTGGATATACAGAGAGCTTTAAGTTGTTCCCATTAATATTCTCTTTTTCAAGTTAACCATTTGTTTGTATAACAACTCTCTGACTTAATGGTGTACAGGCTCACGTGGTACCCACCAGCCAACCGCTGTGCCATAAAGCAAGTTTTACGTAGTGTACATTATTAATTAACTCATGTTTGTTCCCTTTTAAGATGGGTAGTTTATATATGAATATGTTGTAAAATTTACTACCATTTTAGAAATCAAATAGTGAGCATTTATTTAAGTTAATTGAAGCTCACCTTTGTATTAACTCGCAATTTTTAACTATAAATGTGTCACTAAAAGGAGGGGGAAAAAAAGATTTACTCTGTAATATCCAAGTCTGAGATATAAAAGGTATATTATGATAAAGGAAGAGGTATTACTATTGATTTTTTTTATATGTTTTTTTCTTCCTTTTCCTACATATCAGGTATCATCAGGACTGGAAAGAGGAGGATTTACTTTTCAAGGTGACATACATGGAAAAGACTTTGGAAAATTCAAGCTAGAAAGGCAAGGTAAACTGTGCTATGATATTTTTTAAAGCAAATATCAGTTTGGCCTTAGAATGACTATGCTAAGAATGAAAAGGACGTGACTCTGAAAGAAACAAAAAGGAGAATAAAGGGAGTGATTAATGTATCTTACAAGTAAATTTTAAAGAATCTTTTGAATAGCAAAATAGAGAAACACAAAGCTGGAAGTAATGCAATGAATATGCCAGATGTGGAATCAACATTCTTACTATATCAAGATATTAAAAAATAAGGGGGGATGATAAAGATGAAACTCGAAGAATGAGCAAACTATATTATCATGAGAAAACTAAAGTTAAAAAAAATACAAGTAAGGGCCGGCCCGGTGGCGCACTGCTACGGTGCACCGCTTGGGAGCATGGTGGCGCTCCCGCCGAGGGTTCGGATCCCACATACAGACCGGTTCCCGCTCACTGGCTGAGCGAGGTGCGGGCACAGCACCGAGGTTTGCGATCCCGTTGCTGGTCCTGGTCCGGTACGGGCGCGACACTGAGGGTTGTGATCCGTTGCCGGTCGCGAAAAAAGACAAAAAGGAAAAAAAAAAATACAAGTAAGAGTAATTAAAAGTGGCCAACAAACCAATTAATATATCTTCAAAAATGTATGTATATGTACCAACAAAGATGGATAATTTTTAGTTATCAGAATTGCAAGTTTTTTAAAATATTAGTTTTGGCTTGACAGTAGAAATAGGTGTTTGGTTTTGGTGGATGTTGAGGAGGTATGTACAGTTTGGTGGTATCTTTCATACAACAATTCTTTCTAGAAATTTTAATCAGACGTGTAAAAATTGTCCTTTGCATATTCAAGTATGTCCAAAGCAGGACTGTTTTTAATAGTTGAAGTTAGAAATAACCCATACATGTTATACCCCATCATAAAGGAATTATTTCAATCCAAATTCTTATGCAATGAATTATATTTAATAGGAAATAGTTTTATTCAGTGTATTTCATTAAAGAAATGAGGACTGTATATTGACGTGGAAAAATGTTCATAACTTATGTGTGATAAAAAGTTTACTCTAAGTGGATAGACCGATAGGTCCTTCTTCCTCCTTTGTATATTTATTTTTTACTATTTGATTTTTACCTTAGTAATTAAAGAAGGAAAATATGTGGAAACAGTTATTAGATTTGAATCTTACCTCATCTGTTTGCTATTTTTGTAATCTAGAATGAGTTACAATATTCTTGAGCACATTTCTTCATCTGAAAACCCAGTACAGAAGTTTCCAGGGTTGTTAGGAGGTGCAGAGACAGTGTAAGAGATTGCTTTGTGCATGCTAAAGGTTTTGGCACACAGAAGTCATGGTACTTGTTGCTACCAACACTGAAGAGAAAGTGCAATCTTGTGATGAGATTAGCACCATATTTCTCCTGAATAGTATAAACTAGTCTATACTTTGCTTGTAGAATGCTATTAACATATTAATTTTATAAAGAGAATATTACCATATATGCTCGATAACAGAACTAACTTCCAAAGGAACATGAGTGTAAAATTTTATGGTGGTTATCACTAATAAACTTACTTCATAAGACTTATATCAAGATCCTGAGTAATTACAAAAATGTATGCCAACCTGTATATTAAAATACTTAGAAAAAAAACTTGATTGAAAAGAATAACTAATCATAAAATACTCTACTTGCACCCTTCCAAACTTAATAATCTTAAATAGAAGAGCTTTAAATTATAATGTCAGCAATGGCTGAGATAATATTTTAAATTGGGTTATATTGTTGTGAGGTAATGAAGTAGAATAAATGTACTAGACCAACACTAATGATGGGTAAAGTTCTTCTTTTTTTTTTTTTCCTTGCTCTAAGCCAAACCCTGTAGTTCTTTGTCCTCCTTTCTCTCTGTATCACGCGCTCTAGTAATTTTGTTTAAGGACACCCCAGTGGTTGCTTTGCCTCCCACGGATTTGTCCCCCCCCTTTCCCTGGGTGACAGAGCCACAAAGGATTACTCAAAGCCCATCTCTTCTGATCAGTGAGAAGCCCCAAAAGGGGTTAATCTCCCAGAACCCTCAAGAGAGAGGCATTCCTTCCATTTGGGAAATTAACCCCAAATTGGGGTTCTCTTCCCACATTTATTCTCCAGACCAGGAAGTTACAGGAAGAGAACATAGGTGGGGTTTTTCCCAAGTATAGTTTAACAAGTTTAACAATAGATGCTGGTAACATTCAGTAAAACAAGCAAGGCGATATTCCATAATGCAATTTGTAAGAAGTTAAGTCAATCCACCAACAAAAGCTTGATCTTAGCAAACATTGTCTTCTTACAGCAATTTCCCAGTATCTTTACGTATCAATCAGTAACCTGTCTGTCTTTGAGACAGCAACCTTGCTGTGTTACAATTCTTTATCTTACAACAGAGACTATAGCCTGGGGAAAATTTCCTGTCTTTTGCAAGGTTAATATTTGAAACTGCAAAGCTTTGGAAAACCAGGCCCTGTGAAATACATTTGCTTTATGTATACTCTACAGGTTATCACTAATAAACTTACTTTGTAAGACTTATATCAAGATCCTGAGTAATTACAGAAATGTATGCCAACATGTACCTTAAAATACTTAGAAAAAGAACTTGATTGAAAAAGAATAAGCAATCATAAAATACTCTACTTCCACCCTTGCAAACTTAGTGCTGTTAAATAGAAGAGCTTTAAAGTATAATGTCAGCATTCGCTGAGATAATATTTTAAATTGGGTTATATTGTTGTGAGGTAATGAAGTAGAATAAACGTATTAGGCCAACACTAATGATGGGTAAAGTTGTTCTTTTCTTCCCTTGCTCTAAGCCAAACCCTGTAGCTCTTTGTCCTCCTTTCTCTGTCTATCACATGCTCTAGTAATTTTGTTTAAGGACACCCCAGTGAGCTGTACAAGATGATGTGTAGATGTCTTGAGTTTACTCATCCAGGGAACCTGACCTGAAGTATCACTTTGCTATCACATATTTTCTTTGCATTACTCCATTCCTTTTTAATCTAACAAAACAACAGCTTGCTTTAGCAAGTAATCTTTATTCTCATGTGATGATGAGCTTATTGTCAGGAAAAGCCATTTGATTCACAAAATAATTTGAATCCTAAGTGAGTCTCCCATTCAACTAATTAGAAAAGTTTATTTTTAAGTAATGCTTCAACAACAATCATTCACTAAAGCATGATGGCTAAAATGTATTTTTATGGATAAAAATAAACAACCTCCTAATTGTCTCCAGTCATTAGATAAACCAAAAAAAAAAGTGTTATCATTAAGTGGATACTGAAATCAAGTTAACACGAAGGACAAGTTTAATGCAAAAAACTTGTATAAGAAACTCAAGAGCAAATTGGTCTCCCCATTGAAAGTGAATCCCCCCCAACACCAAACACACATGGAATGGGAAAAAATACATGAAAACCATGTATTTGATAAATACCTTATATCCAGAATATATAAAGAACTTATATGGCTCAAAAATACAGAGGTAAATAGCCTACCTAAAAATTTTGCAAATGATTTGAATAGACATTTCTGCAAAATTATACAGATGAATAAACCCAGGAAAAGGTGTTGAACATAATTGGCCATTAGGGAAATGCCAATCAAAACCACACTGAGATATCGTATTACGTCCACTAGGATAGCTATGATCAAAAAGTCAAATCACAAGAGGGGGCAAGTCTGTGGAGAAGTCAGAACACTCATACATTGTGGTGAAATGTAGAATGGTGCAGCTGGGGAAAGAGCAGTGTGGTAGTTCACCAAAGACTTAAACATTGAGTTTACCATAAGATCCAGCAATGTCAATCCTCCATGTACAACCGAGAGAATTGAAAACATGTTCACACAGAAACTTGTACATGAGTACTTACAGCAACGTTACTTATAATAGCCCAAATGTGGAAACAACCCAAATATCCATCAACTCATGAATGGTAAACAAAATGTGGCCTATTCATACAGTGGAATATTAGTCAGTATTAAAAAGGAATAAAGTATTGACACATGCTACATTGTGGATTACACTTGAAAACATCATGCTAACTGAAAGAAGCCAGACACAAAAGACCACATATTGTATGATCCCATTTATATGAATATCCAGAAAAGGCAGGTTTATAGAAACAGAAAGTTGATTGGTGATTGCCCAGAGCTGGAGGTGGGGGTGGGGAGGAGGAAAAATGACTGCTAAGAGGTACTGGGATTCTTTTAGGGGGCAACAGTGTTCCAAGTTAGATCATGGTGATGATTGCACCACCCTGTGAATATACTGAAATAACCTTGAATTGTGTGTGCATGCTAAGCGAACGGATTGTTCTTTCAATAATGCTCCTTAAAAAATGAGATAACTTGGATCACCAAATGTGAAAAGATGTTCAACCTTATTCTTAAGTAAGTAAATGTAAATTTTAAAATAACTAAGTACTAAGTTTGATTTAACAGAGTAGAAGCAATAATAACAATATAAAGAAGACTGGGCAATGGGAGAAAAGAGGGAGTAGGAGAGAAGGGAGGGGGTGGGGGTAGAAATGGAGGGAGGGTAGCCATCAGTAGATGATACACGACAATCCCAGTGTTTTGCAATGGTCCTCATAAAATAATTGCTGCAGGGAAATTGGACGACCCCTTTGGAGAGCAATTAGTAAGATATAGCAACACTAAAAGGTTAGGCAATAAGCCTAAATTCTCTTAAGCAATCTTTCTACTACTCAGAATTTATCCTGTATTCAGATCTCTACTAATGTGCAGATATAGAGAAAAGATTTTATTGCCACATTATAAAAAAAGACTAGGGACAGCCTAAATGTCCTTCAACAGTAGACTGGTAAAATAAATTCTGTTATATCCATTCAGTAGAACACTACATACCTTAAAAATATTAAATCTGATTCATATGTGCCGATAAAAGAACTCCAAAAAATATATGGTTAAGATTAAAAAGCTACATACAAAAAATGTTAATAGTATTCCCCATTTTTATACAAATAAGAAAAGAGAAAGAATCAATGTTGGAAGAACACTAAAAAAATAAACCCTTTTAACCATAAAGAGGGAGACTGGTATACAGGGCAAAAAGTGAACCTTTATTTTCATTTTCCTTTATATTTATTTTCGTATAATTTTATACCATTTTATTTACTACATGTGCTTGGATTTCCCTTTAAATTATTAAAACAAGGGCAAATAACTGAAATTAACTAGGAGCTCCACATAGCATAATAATTTCAGAGTATATATGGTTATATAATTCACAAAGATCATTGTTTCTATTTGTATTAGTCCTTTTTTGTTGTTGCTATAGCAAAATACCTTACACTGGGTAATTTATAAAGAAAGGATGTTTATTTGCTTTATGATTCTGGGGCAGCTGCATCTGGCACGGGCCTCAGGCTGCTTCTACTCATGGCAGAAAGCGGCAGGCAGCTGGTGAGTACAAGCAGATCACATGGCAAGAGGAAGCAGGAGAGAGAAAGGGGAGATGCCAGGCTCCTTTAAACAACCAGCTCTAGTGGGAACTTACAGAGCAAGAACTACTCACTACCCACCCCCCCAGGAGGGTATTAATCTATTCATGAGGGATCTGCCCCCCCCATGACCCAAACCCCTCCCAACGCTGCCACATTGCAGATCAGATTTTGACATAAGCGTTGGGGGGATGACACATCCAAACTCTATCACTATTGTTCTAGTCAGTCATGGCATGTAGATTTTCAGAATTTTTATCTATTGGGGGTTTCGATATGTATTTTGGACAAAAGTATATAATTTTATCTGCATATAACCAAAAATAAGTGTGATTAGGTTAAGTGCAGCACAAATTCATTAGAAAGAGGTAAAGAAACTCATAGAATTATAGCAACATGAAGAATTAGGTATGGCAACATAATGGAAAACAAAAGATATTTGGGTGCCGAAATACTACAATAAACAGCACAATTTTTTTTAAACTTCACAAATATATATTGAGCACCTAATATGTTCTAGGCACTGGGGATTCAAGAGGAAAGCTAATCAAAAAAACACTCTGGCTTCATGGAACTTATGTTCTCGTGAATATGGGTCCTCATGAGCCCTTACTATGTACCAGGCAATGCCCTAAGTAGTAGAGATGCATTAACACATTTAATTCTCACATCAAACCTACAAAGTTGGTGCCATTTTAATAGTGTAGCAGGGCTCTTTCTGTTGGACCACACCTGGTGACTGGATGTTACTGCTGCCACTGCTGCCCTGGGACATTGCGTGCTGTGGTTGGAGCCATCACCAGGGGACATATGATGTTGCCTAAAGATGCTGGCACTGCCACAGCCACTAGAATAAATTCTAGACCATCTTAAGATCTGTGTTGCACTCTCTCTAAATTCAGGGTCCAGGGTGGGAGCATCCAATTGACTTAACTCAACTCACATGCCCATCACCATCATGCTCACATTCAGATAGAACAAGTATCTGGTATTTTTCCCTTTGTGTGGTAGGAAGTGAAGGCATCTGAAATGAAAAATTAAATCTGATTCAAATGTGCTAATGTGGAAGGATCTCAAAAAGACATGGTTATGTTACAAAAGGCAACATTGATTATAAAGTAAGATAGGCAGTAATAATCCTACATCTATTGAAGCAAGTGGCATTTGAAAGTATTTATGTAAAATTCAAGAATTTTGCTATAAACTGAAATTTAAAGATTTTAATATTTGATTATTTCTTTGCCTTTTTGGCTTATAAAAATAAGTAAAATAGACTTCTCTTTCAATTTAACATTCCATAAATTCTGAAAATATATTTCTAAAAACCAGATCAGCTTTTTCTCAACAATGCTTCTGTATTCAGATAACTCCAATCGTAATTTATTACACATGTGCCTTAAGAGACTCCATGCAGTTAGGCCAAATACATGTCAAAATCATATGTTACAAGTAAACTCTTCAAGGACTAACTTCCTTCTTTGGCATAAGTCACTTAATCAGTGTTTGCTGATTTGTATTTTCAATGTTTGCTTCTCTCTATGCCATGAATATGTTTGGCACTTCATAGACTTGAGTTGTAGAGTAAATGGTTCTATCTGTCAACTTTGTAATGTTTGAGATGTTTACATCTGCCTTCCTTCCTAATGGACAGAAATCACGTTTTAGCATTCTTTTGTGTCCTCATAGAAAGTTGTGTAATGACACTGGGCTGCATTTTTCTTTTGAGTATTTCTAAACTCTGCAATGAATTTTGTAATCTACCTAAAATAAAAGCAGATTACACCAACATATTCACATATGGAAAATATAACACCATTTATATACAGAACTGGAATATTTACATAATTTCAATGACTAATATTTTGCTGACTCTGTGCCTCAAGATAGGAGAAAACACCAAATAATATTGATCTCTTTATATAGTAAAAACCATGTAAATGCTTTCATTTAGTTTTTATGCAAATGCAAATATCTATAACTAAAAACAAAATCAGGATTTATAGTACCACTTCTGCCTTTCTCACAATTATTAATAGGAGTAGTACTAAAAAATGGTCAGATTTTTTTATCTTGGTCATTAAGGTGAGTAAAAAAATCTTTAGAAAAGAATATTAGTTGGTTCCCTGTGGAACTGCAACTCCTTCTGCTCCTTGTAGAATTTATATCCATTTATAAAAGTTATCATAAATATTTCCTTGTTTAAACATAGTACAGTAACTGCAAATTAAATATTCCTCTTTATCTTCCAGATCCCTTAAGCTCTGATCAAGACTCTTCACATCATTACCACGGCACCAGCAGTGGCTCTGTGGCAGCTGCCATTCTGGTTCCATTCTTTGCTCTAATTTTATCAGGGTTTGCATTTTACCTCTACAAACACAGGTACTGTAGAAACACCATTTGTTTGCAACTGTTGTGAGTGTAAACTCTCAGTTTAAGCAGTGTGCACACATGCATGCCACCTGCACATAGATTTTATATTGCCGTGCAGCATTCTCTCCTCCATCAGGAATGCTTATGTGCCAAGGTTTGTTGTAGTTTTTTTTTTTTTTTTTGGGGGGGGGGGGTTGGTCCTAGTTTTTTAGTAGGATACACCTGAAGATTTAAGAGAATAAATGACTGTGTTAAGAAATAACATGCTTTGTTTTTTGTTCAGCTAGAAGATGAAATGATTCTATTTCTACTTTCAGGCTCATGGCAAGCTATCAGAATGCTGAGATGGTTCTTCAGCCTTCCAGGAGAAGGTTGAACAGAATAAATTCTATGGCCACTTTCAAGTCCATGAATTCATGATTTATAAATTTTTTATTAATTCCTGCCTTCAACAAATAAAAACTGAGCTGTTAATATGCACTAAGCGATATTAAGTGTTCCGTCTCTTGAAAAGGTGTTCTGAATACCTATTAATTTGCACATTCCTATTAACTGGAAAATATCAAAACTTGGGGAAAAACAACTTTAATGGAGTATATTCTTTCGTTGGGGTTTATGTGGATGGAAAAAAATTGTGGAGGAATTATAAAGTGTTTGTACATTTTGTCTGTATATAGAGAATATATTGCTTGGAGGAATTTTGCATATGCCAAATTCTTCTAAGATACTATTTGGAATAGTAGCATTCTCTACAAATAATAACAAAAAATCACAGTCCCCTGGAATAATATTAAAGTACGTTAAATGTGCCAAACGTTAATTTATATAACTCAGATATTTCCACTTAATCTTGGTTTTTAAAAAAAAAAAAAAAAAAAACAGTAGTGTGAGGATATTTTTTTAAGTAACTCATGCAATATTTTCTTTAAATATGTGTTTTCTGAAATACAGAATAATAAGAATGTTGCTTCTAAGTTAAATTGTATTAGCTGCTTGTATGTATGTTTTCACTTTCCTATGGCTGGCAATATTCTTCCTTTAAAAAGGTATCTTGGATAGTATTTACAAAATCAAAGACTGGCACATGCATATTAACACTTTTTTATTTTGAAGAAAAAATATCCTATGCACAGGTTTGGTGAGCCTTGTTCTTAAATTTCTTCTGAAGGCTAGTTTAAAATTTAGTAAATAGAGAAATATATGCCACCACCTTATCCAATACTGTGTCAACGTTGAAAGTGCTTCTCTTCTTAAAGAGATATAAATTTAAAATATGTCTTCTTTCACAAGTGTCTCTAGGGAATGTAATATCCTTACAGACACATACAGTAGGGATTTATAATTCCTACAAATTCGTTTTTGCTTTTTTGTCATCCATTTTAACCACAAGGAAAGAGTCTAGTTCATTAAATCTCTTTTCCCCCAACTTTTGACGTTTTGCCTGTCAGTAGGGGGGTCTTTGATGTTCCTCTGCTGGGATGTGGACAGTGTCCCCACATGTCAGAGAGCCTTGCCTAGGTGGACCTCCAAAGATGCAAACCTTTGTATGACTTTCAGAAATTTTTCTTTCTTCATTTGAAAAGATAATTCCACACAATTATATATATTTGTACATAAATTAAATGTGACTTCTGATTCCATCTTAATTTTAAGACAGCATAGCACTAGGTATATATTCAATCCATATCACAGCTTTAGTCATTAAGCCTTAGAAATTTCCCTATGAAATGAACAGCAGTTAGGTGCCTCTGCGAAGATAATGCCATGGGACTAGATCTCAGACTACAAAAGCAGATATAAGGGAAGTATCACTTATTTTTTATATAAGTTTGATACTTCCTCTGGGCTGGTGGAGAATTTAATGACTGGGCTCCCTTGTGTCTAGAAAATGACGGGAGGCTCTCATCTTATGGCTCTCAGGAGGACAGCTATAAGGCCACTGTGACTTTTAAATCTGTAGAATCTTCTTGTTCTCTGCTCCTGTGCCATATAAGGAATGTTGGAATTTTTGCAAAAGCAAGGAACCTAAGGGCCTGGTTGCCTGGCACTTTCTCAATTCATTTTCTTCTGAGTTCTTGCCACCTGCCCAGGGAAAGCACAAAGCCCTTGGCATTCTCTCCACTGGCTTCTCAGCCTCTACAGGTATAAACATTCTGTAACGAGTTGGCTTTGAATTTCTCCTCACAAAACCTTGTTTCTTCTCTTTTCTGAGTCTCTTTTATTACTGGTATGTTAAGAATTGTTCTCTCAATCAGAACCCAAGGTCCTGGTTCAGGCCGTCTGTATGGCTGAGTTGACCACGTTCACTTCTTGGGTCTGGCTGCATCTAATCCAGCTCTGGTTCTGCATTTTCCTACGATGAGGGAACAGTGAGGGCTCATCACCTGGGTGACTGAATGAGAATTTTAGCCATGTCTTTGCTCCATTAACATTGGACTACATTTGTTTGCTAACTTTTGCTGCTGGAGCATTTTTAAGTTCAATGTCAAAGACCTCTCCGACTCCAAGGCTAGTTGCAAACTGCTGTTCTGCTGACAAAGATCTCATTTTCTGAGGGTCATGCACTTTCTACTTCTCTTTTTCTTAATGAACATATTGGAACTTAAGAAAATCTACAATAAATCACTAAAGAAGTTTGTTCAGATTCCAATAGCAAGTGATGTTTTTGCTAGTGTTGTTATTTACATTACAGTTCTATTTTTACCACATGGCATATTTTTCTTATGTAATTTCTTCTGGAATGAGAAAAGAAAAAAAAAAAAAAAAAAGGAGCCAGACCAGATATGTTTAGGTCTTTTCAATGTAAAAATCCTCTAACTCTGTAATCATGGGTTATATGTAGTAGCTTTCCTCTTAATTAAAAAATGGAAAGAATAGTTTAATAATGAGTATACTTTATTTTCTTTAAAGATACTCATTTTTAATTCACCAGAGACAAAATCATATTACAAAAATAGCTAACATTTAGTCAATGTTAGTAATGACAGTGAACTAATAGTTTATAGTTGTAATTTCATTCTATCTTAGCAGCCCTGAAGGGTGGGCATCAGGCTAGCATCCTTAGTTTACAGAGTAATAAAAAGTGTAGGGACTTAACTAAGGCCATGAAACTTATCAGTGATCAGTGGATCCAAACCGCATGGAAATTGCTTTCACGTTTTAAACCGTTTGATAATCCCAGCCACCAGTTTAAAAACACCAGCTCTGTTGAGCGTGGCGCTTCGCCTCTTCCCTGTGCATGCTCGTTGCGGGAGCCACCTCCTGCTCTTGAGTTCTCTAGAGCACACAGTTCCAGCTGTTATGTCTCTTTTATTGAAACCAGGGTTCTAATTGTTTTTTCCTGCTTCTGCTTTTAGAACAAGACCAAAAGTTCAATACAATGGCTATGCTGGACATGAAAACAGCAATGGACAAGCTTCATTTGAAAACCCCATGTATGATACAAACTTAAAACCTACAGAAGCGAAGGCTGTGAGGTTTGACACAACTCTGAACACAGTTTGTACAGTGGTATAGCCCTCAGTGCCCTGATAGGACTGATTCATAGCCATACCTCTGATGGACAAGCAGTAATTCCTTTGGTGCCATATACCACTCTCCCTTCTATTCTTGCTTTGCTGCAGCGACCTTTAACATAGTCTACTGGCATACGTGCAGCGGGAATTTCTATTCAAATGTGGCAGAGTCTTCTGAGGATCAAACTACACACAGATCTTCATTATGAAAGCATATTAGAAACACCTGGCTGCATCTGCTTGAAACCAAGGCACACTGGAGGAAGACTGCCGAGTCAAGCTGACACATCATACTCTATGCCTCAGACTTTCCTATTTCTGTGTTGCTGGGATGCCTTTCAATGCAATCTTCTGGGCATGTGGATACATCCTTCCGGTGTGGTGACAAAATAGTAGCACCACAATATGTGTCTTGTTTTTTGTTTTTGTTTTTGTTTTTTACCCCGAAGAACACAGAACACGAACGAATACTCTGGAAAAACAAAATCTTTCTTGAAGAAGACACCATTCTGATAGATGCACACACCTACAAATGCTTCACTCTGTCCTTCCCGAGACCTGACAAGCTTTGAGGACTCATAGCTTCCTGGAGTGTCCATCACAAGGGACATTTGCAAATTTCCTAGTCAGCTGTCCTCTTGCAGAATTTTTGATGCACAATTTTTTGCACTAGTGTGTTATGAATGACTAAGATTCTGATAAAAAATAAACTATTTACACAGGGTTTATACACACTATTCACTGTATATAAGCATCCTTTCCTATTGTCAAGCTAAACATTTCACCACCAGTGTAGTTGGGGTGTTAGGAAATAAGAATCTCAGATACGGCACAGATTTTAAAAGAAATACAGTATTGATGAGGTTTATTTTATCATTCCTTCTATTAGCAACATTTATGTGTTCAATTCATTGAAGATGTCATCAAGAAAAAAAAAGAAGTCTTTTTATTTCCCATGTTTTCTCCCTTTAGTTCTGTCATGATCCATATACTACTTAGTAGCAGGGGTTTTGCAGAAATTTCTATTAGCCATGTTAAAATGTGAGTAGTAATTTATTTTAGACAGTTCACGAACTTGTGGGTTTCAGCAGTCTTACCTTTTGAATTTGCTATTTTTTATTCTTTTGCTGGATCATCATTCCCTGATATTGCATTGAAAGACAATATATCATGGTAGCACCTTGAGCTGAGTGAAAAGTGTTCGGGATCAAATACTAAGTGTTCCTTTAGAGGTAAGAAAAAAACACGCTCCTCTCATGATAATATATTCTATATATTGTTTGTCTTTTGTTTCATGCTTTATAATTCCAGATGGAAAGATAATTTTAGTGATTTTCCACATTTAAAGTTTATTATAGGTAGATTATGAGTTACAATATAAATAAAATAGATATGATCCCCAGTGTGGATAAAATCAAAACGTGAATTAGACATGACCATGAGAATGTTTGCATAACAAATAGAAAGTGAAGATCATGTTTATTTTTATTTATACTTGTTTGATAAAAATATTTTGACATGATAATACTTACTTTATTACTTGATGTTTAAGCACGTGTTACACATGTTGAAAATTTCCCCTTTCACCTTCTAGATTGGCATCTATAGAAATGTTGGAATATTGAAATTGACTTTCACATTGTTGTAGTGAACATATTCACACCTAGCTTTGAGACTGATGTATTTGTTTGTCTACTCAGTGTTTAAACTTAGGACTTCAAACATAAAAAAGTGAAAAAAGAAAACTCAGTAGAGTAATAGCTCATTCATTTGAAAGCTGTGCATTTTGGTTTGAACCTTTGAGTAGATCTTTTTTACCCAGCTGCCACTGTTCTGTGACTCGCTGGAAGGGACATATGCTGTTCGTAGGACTCCCCAACCTCTTCTACTTACTCCTCTGTCTTTTGAATTCCATATTATTATGCTGAGTTCTCTCCAAATTTTTCCCTGGCCAACCTGATGCCATCCCTGGAGATTTGCTTTGCAAATGGGAATCCTTCCATTTTACTTGTTCTCAGTAGACTAGATGGTGTCGGCAGGAAAATGCTCCTAGCACACACAGTGAACTGAAACAAACAGAAAAGGCTAGAAAGTTTGAGGATCATTGTGTGCAAGGGAGAACAGGGTTACTATATATATTAGGTGTATATATACATATATATATATATATATTGTACATATCTAAGTTTGAGTCATTCAAACTAGGTGCAAAATGCTGACTTCAGAGTCTGAATTAATGTCACTGTTCCCACATCCCTGACCTGCTTGCTGGTCAATAACGTTATGAATTCCTGAAATGACAGGACATACGTACATACAAGAAATCACATATCAGATTAGATATTATTTTTCTTTTTGTGCAAAGTCAAACTGTCCTATGGTTGTCAGTTTGGAGCATGTTGTTTAAAAAACAAACAAACAAAAAATCTGTGAAATTCTCTTGTGAGAATTCTGCCTAGTTTCTTCCTAGGGTGTGTGTAGTAAATAATCCAATCTCCCATGAGGCGTTGGAGGATCTCGGTAGGGCAGTCAGGAGATGTGCTTGCTGAGTGAGGTCTAGCAGACTCTTCCCGGAAGGCAACCGGAGCCCACGTGAAGGAAGCGACCACACGCTAAAACAGGTTATGTGCTTCAAAGCTGTTTAAAACTTCTGCTTGTTTCACACACATCTTGCCTTTCTTCAGGCTAGCTGCAATAATTTTTTTCTTCTGTAAAATATTTTGTAAACAACAACTAAAAGCTATTATTAAAAGGGGAAAAAAGAACGCTGGCATTATGATCAGGAAAACCCATCATCAACGCCACCCCACCCGCTGTCCCTCCACACGCTGCTGTCAAGAAGTAGGTGCAAAAGACCTTTTTGTACAGAGATATATTTTTTATGAAGAATTTGTAAAATTATTAAATATGCTGTAATTTTTTGATTAATGTAGGTAAATTGTTAAAAATAAATGTTTTTACAATACAAAACTGTAATTTTCCCAATAATGTAAAATGTACCATCTCTAGCTGATTTTCTGTTCCAATCCTATTACACATGTATGAATATAAAAGTGGCCTGTTAAAATGAACAGTATCTTTTTTGTCAAAAAATCTATAAAGAGAGTGTAATATAGCCTGTGCAATGCCACCTATCTTTAAAGCAAATCAGAGTTCTAATTAAATATTTAATTTTAGATTTCTATTTTTGCGTGTGAATTTATTTTAGTATTAATACGTATACAAGTCTGTTGCGGGGGAGGAAAAGGACAGAAGTGTTTATAATGAGACTTTATTGTATTTAGAAAGAAGCTCAATATTTTCTCAAGATATTCACATCACCATTATAGTTAATAAAAAGCACACTTAAGAGGAACCATGATACACGGAACAGTAACATCGAACCTGACAGATTTCTTGATGGTTTGCATTAAAAACAATGCAATTGTTTAAAAACCTCTGTCTTTATGATTTCTCTTTAATTCGGGAGCTCTTTTTGTAAACTTTCCCGACACTAAAAAATTGACATGTAAGAAATTTATAGGCATTTTTAAGAAAGCATATCACACTTGAAGGAGGCTCAGAAAGAAACCATACTCTCATCCAGCCTTTAAAATTCAGAACCAGCTGTCCTCCATTCATTTCTGGGCTGAGATACAGACTGCTTTACTAGTCCTCAGTGGCCCATCAAGCCAAATGTCTTGCAGTTAAAGAGAATGATATACTAATTTTCCTGAGAGTCAAGTTACTGCAAAATGATAAACAACTAATAACTAAAAAAAATAAAATAGCCCCACGCTGGCTTGAAAGTAACAAAGTTTTGACACCCAACTTACAGCCTGGGTCTATTTGGGCCAGCAACTGCATGTAGCTGCTTCTGATTGAGGACCTACTGAGCGCAAGACACTGCATGAGGTGACTTGCAGATATTGCATATAATCCTCATAGTCTAGCAAAGTAGGTTTTACCATTTCAATATTTTAGATGACAAAGAAGAAATTTGGAGATGTTAATTAATTTACTCAAAGACACATAGACAGGCAGAGCTGATATTGGACATCAGGTTTCTCTTGCTTTGACATTCTTCTTTTTCCCAAAAATATCTCATTATAAAATTCATCAGTATTCCTATTCTTTGTCATTAAAATTTTTCTGAATTTTTCTGTCCATTCTACCTATGTGTAAATCTTGTTGTTTCATCTGGTAAATAATTATCACAAGCTAAGATTCCTAAGAGAAATACTTTATTATTATTATTAGTTTTACTATCACCCAGAACTCTCACACATAAAATGCCCTCAAGAGCTATTTAACAAATTATGCTGAAACTTGGGAGCTTTGTACTTATCTTGTGAGTCTTTGTCTATACACTGAAATTGCAGGAGAGCTGTATGCTTAACTTATCTTTCTACTGACACACCTCAAAAAAATTGATTGGGAATTAATACTTTTCTCACAAACCTGCCTCCTGTGTCTAGGACATTTAGCGTATGGTAGAATGTCCTGCTCAAAGTAGGTCCTCCAAATAGCTGTTGAATTTGGACGAAATACCACAGCGGCATTCACTGTGGACTTTTTTTGAAGGCTGTGAGTTTGATATATACTCACTGTGGCTTGGAATGGCTACAAAGTAGTGATATCACAGTCTGTTCCAAGCAATGGTTCCTTACCATAAGAAATAAAATCGGGCCGGCCCGGTGGCGCACTGGATAGTGCGCCGCTTGGGAAGCGCGGCGGCGCTCCCGCCCGAGGGTTCGGATCCCACATACGGACCGGTTCCCGCTCACTGGCTGAGCGAGGCGCGGGGGCAACACCGAGGGTTGCGATCCCGTTGCCGGTCCCCGGTCCGGTACGGGGGCAACACTGAGGGTTGTGATCCGTTGCCGGACACAGAAAAAAACAAAAAAAAAAAAAAAAAAAAAAAAAGAAATAAAATCTGGCCTGCTCTTTGCCTTGATTTTGAAGTGTTTTCATAGAATTATAGGAAGGGTTCCTATAATTATTCAACTTACTAAATAAGATGAAGTAGGTAAGGACAGCATCATGCACAGCTCAGGACCCTGTGGCTTTTGAAGTCTGCAGATCTCCCCTTTTCTTGTGGTAACAGCACCCGACTGTCCCTTGGGAATTGCTCCTCCCAGTGACAATCAGCTCTGATGGAGCATTAATTATAATAATTCCCCACCTGTCCGCAGCCAGAGGGTGAGAGAACCTGTCTGTGTTTGAGCTAGGACAGACTCCTCTCCTGGGAATTGGAAGCCTGAGCTGCATGACACAAGCATGGGGCATATCTAGCCAAATTAACCCTAATGCCCAACCCCATCCCATCCCAGGACATCACCCATTCACTTTACACTGCTGCTGACATTCCATGGCCATGTTGCTAGGCTTTTTTATTGATCTAGGGAGCTACCCCATAACTTCCCATAAATTTTTTATTTCAAGTTATCTAGACTTAGTTACTTCTGCTTGCAGTTAAGAAACTAAACAGCTGAGCTGTAATTACCACTTAGATTGAGAAAGAGCCTCAGAGAGGTGCCTTGGCTGACACAGCCTCTAAGATGCTCAGCACTCGAGACTGCTCACTTCAAATCCAGTCCTGTGCTACCATAAAACAGTACCCTTCAGCTCAGGTGTCTCTGAGTGGATATAATGGATATAATGGATAAACCTAAAGTGACATTCAGAACTGCTCAGGGAGGCTGAGAGAGTTTACTAAGTGCCTCCCTTGCTGTATTTAATCAAAATCCCTTTAGAGGAATGAATACCTTTATATGCATGTAACCTACCAAAAGGCACATAGAAGCCAGTGACTTTCAGTAATGGTCAAGTGCTGTAAAGGTTGACCAGACACTATAAAGCTTTACATCAGACAAATATCTTTAGCTAACAGGATAGCAGGAATAGTTTTGCAATACTGCTTAGAAGATGTTTTTTGCTTGTTTTATATTGTTATCCTCATGACTATCACAGCAACTTTTAGTTTGTCACAAGATTTCTTTTAGGGAGTGTGCTGGACGACAAACTCCTATTTTTTCAGGCTGTTTGAACTACTTAGTCCATGAAATTATATCTAAATTAAGTACTGGCAGGGGGAGAATTATACCAGGGGAATAAAGATGACACTATTTTCCACTCTCAGCATGTCAACAATTTAGAGTATTATCAGCTCACCCCACACCTTGAGATCTAGGGCAGGCTTAGGGCGCCTGTCTGTATTACATTCCTGGTGCACCGTTTGTGTCGTATGAGCTCAAAGCACAGGGTGAGTCTTCACCGGGGTTGCTGTCACAACAGACTCCAGTGTTTAATTCCAGCCAATCTTCCTGCCCTGGCACATCTAGGTTAATAAGCACACTCCTTTTGGTATAGTCAGAGAAGCCCAATCCTTCAGAAAATCTATTTACATGTTGTATGAATAAATTGGAACTACATGTATTAACAGGAATAAACACCAAAACATAACTTCTAATTAAAGAAAACAAAATTACAAAAGAATATGAACAATACTATTACATTTATCAAAATGATTGACAATCATGTGTATTAAACTATATATTATAAAGGGATGCAATATATTTGTACATATATTAGAAAAACTTGGAATGGATTAATGTCATATTCAGCTTAGTAATTACTTCTAAAGAAGGAGTGAGAGGAATGGAATTTAGTGGTGGTGCACGGGGAGCTTCTGAGTTGTCTGCAATGGGAACTCGGGCAGGTTATTTATCAGTGCCACTTAAAATGCATATTATAATATTATCTACATCACAGTGTCATAGGGTTGCAAAGAAAACCAAATGTGAAAATATATGTAAAAGGCTTGAAATATAGTCTGGTGCACAGTAAAAGCCAATCTGTCATCTATCTATCTATTATCTATCTATCCATCATCTATCATCTTTCTATATATCTATTATCTATCTGGTTATTTATTTATTTAATATATAATCTAAAGCAAGTAGAGAAAAGTGTTAACTTTGACAAAGTTTTACAGGTACCTGCATGTTGATTTTGTTATACTCAATCTCTTAATTTATATTTGAAATGGATTATACTCTAAATAATAAAACAATGAACACTGAAGTGTGACTGATAGGCCCTTCTTCCTCCTGCCTGTGAGACCTGACTGACTATGTAACTCTCTCTTTGGGCCACAGGTTCTCAAACAGTAAATTGAGTGTACCATCATCTGGTTTTATTTGCAAAGACTGTGCCCTTCTGTAAACAATGTTAGCTCATGAATATTTAGTGAAATCAATGGAAGTACTCATATTTTAGAGTAGTTTGAAGATGACACTTCTGAATACAGTCTCTTTCTTCCCCTGTGTCTACGTTGTGCGTGTTTCTATCCCATGGCTGGGGTATTATACCTGAATACAGTTAAGATTAAAGCCCATGTCAGAAAAAAGTATGGAATCAGAGTCCATGAAATCTTGGGCCTTGGGTATGAGGCCCAAGAAGTTTCAGATGTAGAAGGCTTTTGTGATATAAGGAAAGTAAATACTCATGCAAGGGAATACCACTAGAAATAACTCACTCATTCACAAAGATTTGGCTAAGCAACAGGAAAATGAATCAGAGAATGGCCCCTCTGAATGTAACACAGGTAAAGTCAGTAATCCTCTAAGTCTTAGGTTTTTTGAAATTTGTTTGAAAATTAGAAAATAAGGAGGAAACATTGAGGTTTTTATTTTTCATATATACTCAAACCCATGCTGAAGCAACAGAAAAAATTAATGCATAGACTACTTATTTAACACGGTAGTCAAATTTAGCTGAAAGATTTAAACAACAAGAATTTGGTGAAGTAAGCCTTGATCCCATTCTTGTTCTTTTAGGTGTGAATGTGCTACTGGAAGCACACAATTACAAGAATAAGAGTTAATGCATATTGAGAACTTGCTATATGCCAGACACTATGCTAAGTGTTTTACAAGTGTTACCTTAATTAACCCTCTCACATCAGCCTTATGAGCCCAGGATGTAAGAGACATTGTGACAGATTCCTCAAAGAAGAATGTAGAATAAGACCTTGCCATGGGTCAAATGTGTCCCCCCAAATTTCATGTATTGGAAATGTGATCTCCATCGTCATAATGTTAAGGGGGTGAAATCCAATTATAGTCTGTGAAAGGTGGGGCCGTTGAAGGGTGACTGAATCATGAGGGCTGTGCCCTTGTGAATGGATCAATTTATTCATGA